TGATTCTCTCATTGTTGCAGATGCGGGCCATGACAAATAACCAGCTGTGGGTGTGTTTTGGGTGACATTTACTCCATAGTGTCAGTCAGTCAATCAGCCCTGTGGGTGACACCAGGGTGTGTCGAGAAACCCACACTGTTCGGGATTATAGTATTGCTGAGCAGCATTTTAGCATTTCTAAGCTGGGTTTAGCGTCTTGTTCAGTGAGGAGTTATAAGCAGTACTAGGGCTTCCACGGGTACTCGAGTACTCGAGGACGAGTCGGGTTCAGCTGGACTCAAGTCCATTTTCAAGGACTCGAGGACTCGAAAAGGGGAGATAACTCGAATTATTTGACGTTGACAGACTGTCTGCCATGTGCTAAGCACGAGCGGCCGTTAACGTCTAATATTAAGATAAGATATAACTTTATTATCCCGGAGGAAATTCTTATACATCCAAACTGTCTCAAAATGAATATATACACAGTTCACAAAAATATACACAATAATTACATGCTCAAAACGAATGCTATTTACAAATAGATCTGACATGATATAATTCAATTAACCACATAGGTAAAGAGGCTGAATAATTCTAGTTCTAATCACATGATGGTGTGATTCCAAATATTTGTTGCATTCACGAATACTTGATGGTATGAAAGACTGTCGAGCTCTGTTTGTTTTGAAGGAGGGAATCGACAGCCGCGTCCACAAGGAAGTAGTTCAAAATGGTGAGATCAAATATATCAACTATCAAATCTAATTTTAGCTGCCTTTTTGACAATCTGGCGAAAATGCTATGGAGTGAGTGAGTGAGTTTAGTTTTACGCCGCTTTTAGCAATAAATGCTATGGAAGAAAGCTGTATTTTTAATCAAATATGAAGCTGAGGGCTATTGTATTGAAAAGCTAAAATGTTGAGGCAGGAATGACATAACGTGTCCACCCTGTGATAAAACAGGCCAACTGCTTGGACAATTAACCCGAGCACATACAACTAATGCAACATTCAACATATTGAAATCTAATACTCTATTCCTAAAGAACTATAAACACAATATCCTGTTACATCGATATTGTAAGAGACACTGTGTGCACGGAAGATATAAAACTTTAATCCATATCGATAAAACCTAAGTATTTGCCTAGAGAATTTGGTCAGATATTTATATGGACTGTCTCTATTCATTCGAAGGCAAACTCAAACAAAGCGGCGGACATACTGTCTGCTCACATCAGTAAGCTCGATACCCTTTCACCTGATACACCAAACTGATTATTGGGGACTTCAACGGCTGTGTGTTGAATAAAGTACGGCCTCATTATCACCAATATGTCACTTGTGAGACACGGCGAAACAGAACCTGTGCTACGAAAGCCTATAAATGGTATGTGAAGCAGCCACTGTGGTCAGTCAGATCATAACGCTGCTTATCTCGTTCCCCAGTATAAATAAACTCTCAAATCACAAAAACCAACAGTAAAATCTTTTAAAACCAGGACGAAAGAATCTATTAATCAACTGAAAGCTTGCTTTGACTGTACAGTGTGGGATAACTTCCGCGGATCATCGACTGATCTGGATGAGCTGAACGACATTGTTACAGATTATATCAGGTTCTGTATCGATGATATTGTTCCTTCAAAAACCATAATTTTTTTCCCTAACAACAAACTTGGATTATAGCATTGAATGGAAAGGACTTCTCAATGACAAGAAGCGTGCTTTCTGCGCACGAGACAGAAGTGAAAGAGATACAACGAGATGTCAAACGTTTGACTAAAAAATGTAAACTTACTTACAAAAAAAAATAGAAAAAGAATTTCGAACTAATAACTTGAAAGCAGCGTGGAATGGAATTAAAACCATGATTGGCAATGACAGTAAATATAAAGTCCTGAACACTCAAAACGGTGTCTTATTTGCGAGAGATCTCAATCAATTCTACTGAAGACTTCTCTCCGACACGCAATGCCTTCATTCAAAGCCTACCCAAAGATGATGGCTTAGTCATCACCGACCTTGATGTGATGCTAACATTCAGGAAGGTTAACATTCGGAAACAAATCGGCCCCATGGAATACGCGGCATTGCACTACGAGAATGTTGTGAACAGTTGTGCGGGATATACAGAGTGATGTTTCAGATGTCTGTCGACACCCATCACCCAACAATTTGGAAAACCTCGCATATAATCCACGTTCCCAAAAAGTCAAAACCTTCAATCATTAATGACTACCGTCCAGTTTCTCTTACTCCAATATTCATGTAATGCTTTGAACGAATTATCTTGAACTTAATTAAGTGAAACACAGGACATCTAATGGATCCTTTACAAGCTGCTTACAGGGCCGGGCGCGGGGTAGAAGTTGCACTCACTTCACTGTTGCATATAAGCAGGGATAATCTACAACAGGGCCTTATAGTCTCCCTGATATAACATTGATACTCATCAAGAGAATTCAAATCTTATGTAAGAATCCTGTTTGCGGACTTTTCCTGTGCTTTCAACACACTCAAGCCACATTTGATGATAAGGAAATTATTCAACATGGAAGTAAATAGTAACATCATCAAGTGGGTAGAGGCCTTCTTAATTAACCGACCTCAACGTGTTCGGGTCAATTCAACGCTTTCTGACGTTAATCTTGTGAGTACCGGTGCTCCTCAAGGCTGTGTCCTGTCCCCTGTCCTCTTCACACTCTATACAAATGACTGTTTATCTCATTCATCATCCTGTTTGAATTTCAAGTTTCCTGATGATTCCGCTGTGGTTGGGTTTATTCGTCAATCGGAGTTAGAGCATAGGAAAAATATTGATGTGTTTACTGTGTGGTGCAATGGCAATTTCCTCCGCATGAACATAAACAAAACAAAGGACGTGATAATTGACTTCCGAGGCAAAAAGGACAACTTGGAACCTGTTTGTATTGTTGGACATGAAGTAGAAACAGTAGAAGAGTATAGATATCTGGGTACTATCATTGATAATAAACTTTTATGAAAATGAGATTCACATCGTGTACAATAACATAACGGGATGAATTCTGACCCAGTCATCAGTATAATACAGAATACTATATTTAATTAGTTTTTACTCTATAAATTAATTAGATTAAGATTACCGTGTGTATTTAAGCCGGAAATAGCAATCCATGGACGTCAGCTTATTGTGGGAAGGTCAAACAGTCTTCATTTGGACCATGAAAACTTCAAACCAGCTTATATTTTTCATGATGAACTTAGTCTGCAGCCTTCAGCTTTGGCTTCTGTTCCACATATACACATGGAGATCCCGGTTAGAACTGGTCTTCAGAAACCCATGATTGTCATCTAAGAGGCGACTAACGTGTGGTCAGGCTCGCTGACTTGCTTGATGGATGTCATCGTTTCCAGAATCCACAGAGCCATGCTCATGCTGCCAATCATTGGATATTGTCTGGTCCCGACTGGATTATGTACAGACCTCCGCCATGTGGCTGGAATTATGCTGAGTGTGGTGTTAAACAACAAACAACAAAACGAACAAAACCTCCCACATTTACCAGAGATTTGTCAATATTTTGTCAGGGATCATAAGAATGTAAGTCCATACATCACTTTGTAAAGGAAAACAGAAACTGCATGTTTGTTGTCACATCTGAGACGTGGACGAAGATATTTATCTCACATCCAATGTCCCTGTGGAGATTCCCTGATCCCTGTGAGAACCAAATGGATGGGTTATATCCTGTCTTTGACTGTCCAGGCTGGTCACCACTATAACCCTGCTCCTGTTTCACCACAGTGGTCGACCTTGGTGGCCCACAGCGCTGGTGATATTTGCTTTATAACACTGGTGACAAATGAGACCCACAGGTGAGTGAGCCTGAGTGAGTGAGGCAACTTCAACAGTATTTCAGCTACGACTGGTTACGTCAACTTGATTTGGGAGGAGTGAGTGAGTGAGTTTAGTTTTACGCTGCACGCAGCAATATTCAGCTATATAGGGGTCGTCTGTAAATTATCGAGTCTGGACCAGACAATCCAGTGATCAACAACATGAGCATCGATCTGCGCAATTGGGATACGATGACATGTGTCAACCCAGTCAGCGAGTCTGACCACCCGATCCTGTTAGTCACCGCTTACGACACGCATGGGTTGATGAAGACCAATTCTAACCCGGATCTTCACGGTCCGATGTGGGAGGACCTTGACCTTTACTACAGTGAAACACACAAACAAGGGCATTGTGCTGACCATGCTGGAATTATTATCAAATCGATTCTATGATTCCACACCATGATCATAGCTTCGTGGCATACCCAAGGACTACAATCTGGTGAGTGAGTGAGTTTAGTTTTACACCGCACTCGGGAATATTCCAGCTATATGACGGCGGTCTGGACCAGACAATCCAGTGATCAACAACATGAGCATTGATCTGCGCAAGTGGGAACCGATGACATGTGTCAAACAAGTCAGCGAGCCTGACCACCCGATCCCGTTAGTTGCCTCTTCCCACAAGCATGTGTTACTGAAGATCAATATTCTAACCGGACCTTCACCAGTCACTAAAATCTGGAAGTGGCATAGATTACTTGGGTTATAGCTAAAAGGGCAACAAATTTGTTTGGCGTTTTAGCCTGAACCCTATTACTTGACCCATCTGCAGATCCTCACAGTGATGTTTAGCTTGACAACTGTGTAAGAATCTAGACCCATCGCCCTATGCAATTAACAAAAAGTTATCATCCATAAGGTCACTTAAATCTAAGGAATCTACCCCCAAAGCCAGTCTGTGCAATAAACAAGAAGTTGTTCTCCATAAAGTCGTATGCATTACTGACTCACCAACTTCTAGAATGCTGGTGAAACAATAAGTAATTATTATAGAAGCCACCAAACACTTGATTCTTTTGTAGGATAAGTTTGTCAATGCACAGTACAAATGGACGAACACAGTTCCAACATATCAAACTGTTTTCTTAGTTCAAATTTAGTTGGTGTGTGAAAAAAGAAAATTAATTAAGGTAAAGTTGGAATATTTTATTGTGAAAAACATTTCTCTTATAATCATAAAACAATCATGCAAAAAACATACGATATCACTGGTTGCGTAACAACATTTTTCTTAAGATCTCATAACAATCTCATAGCTATTCCTGTAACATGTGGCCACAGATATAGGTAGTCAGCACATTTTCGTATTATACACGTGATGTACAGAAACACTGCCACTAAACATGCTACATACATAGATACTGTGTAGAACATACATCAATAGGCATACATCGGCGGATCAAAAGGGTGCCTGGTTAAAATAAGTTGTCATGTTAATAGCACAGCAATAACCCTTAAACACAACTTTCATCATTCAATGACATATTTTATAAAGATACACAACAAAGCTGTCTACAATATATACTTCACTTGGGTAAATAACAAGGGCAGACAGACTGGGACAGCACACAGTGAAACCCAGGAAGCAGGGTTGACACCAAAGGCCCTTGGAAAAATATTTCAGACAGACTTGCCATTTACAATCACAAGAGACATACACACAACTCAAATATTTGAGGTCATGTTCGAAAATTGTCAGCAGTGGGGTTGGAACTGATCCCTGGTTTCCTGTGGAAACTACTGTACTGTTTCTGACCACCGTACAGTCCAGGGTACAGAATTACTGCCAGAACATTGGTACAAGTTCCAAAACATATCTAAAAGCATGTACAGCTTTACAAGAATACAAAAGAAGCAGGCTTCCGGTTAGCTGTCCATGGGTGTAGGACACTGAGAAAAGAAGCATTAGGATTAAATCAGAGTTTGATGATTTCTGTACTTTTGTGGGAAAGGGATGTGAAGGCTGTTTGAACCCAACTGCAGCATATTGTCATGGCAACAACAGCTTGATTATTACTGGTGACACAAGTGAGACTTAGCCCACACAATAACAGCAGCAATAACAGTGGGATGAGTACCACAGCACAATCCGGTTACCGACCAACCCTATTCTTATCCCCATAACCCTAGAAAACCTGAGGACTGAAAACATGATCAACTTCATCGGGTTAGAATGACAGCCAATCAGCTAATTCACACTATCTGACCAACCAATCACCATGCTAAATAAGTATTATTTACTGAGGGTCTGACAGGGGGGCTGTATAATGACATACTACACAAGACAAGCTTCATCACTTGTCAGAATAAAATCCAGGTTCATCCCTCTCTCAGCTGGATGTAACAATGACATGCACACAATTGAGGTAATGTCATGACTGGTAAGATTTGTACAACTGGTAACATGGAAGACAGCACAGGATGGCACGCTCACTAGTTTGAAACATACATGGTGTTAGATGCTGATTATACTGGTATTTTAACAAGCAATCCATGGCTCCATGAACAGGGACGAGGCAACACAGCACCTCTCTTCACTGTCAGTTTAAACAGTTTTCCCCGGGAAATTCTACTGGCTACTATAATATATCTCTTGCAACAAACTACCTGGGTCAGAACCAGCACTCTTACCCTACAAATGTCACTGAACAGTGCTTTAGAAATGCAGCACATATGCAAATGAACACATTTTAAAAATGTTAAATATAAAATAGATTTCATATAAGGGTAAAATCTCGGGAATATTAGATAACAGAGACATATATTTTTCTATCTATGAATACACATTACCAGAATAAGAACTTTAAATGAGTATACATAAAATGGCGTGTCTGCAATCATGACCATTTTTTTAAAAGAAGCAGATCTTTGCCAATACATTTGTTATCAAAAGTACATAAAAATGTGTAAAGTCATGCAAAGGTTTAAAAAAACATTCCAAATGATTCCAATTTACAGTGACACGAAAACTTGATGAAACCTGTGTGACCTGACCCCGTTCAACAGGGTCAAGCCTAACAATGAGGTCAAGGCCATCACAGTGGTGTACAAAATTAGCTGCAACAATAAACAGTGATGGAGAAAACACAACACCTCATCTGAACTAGGGATAACAAGGTCAAGGTTATCACGGAAGTCCACACAGCATTGAGCGTGAAACACAACATTGAATTCATCATTGTGACAACTGACAATGTAGTCTTTTAACTAACAATAACAACCCTGGACTGTGACTTGTACGTTGTGACACTCGCAACATGTTCAAGCTTATTCTACCTCATTCTTCCAAAAGAAGCTGCAATCACAGAAGTGTATTGACAGGTAAGGTAATGAAAGCAGGACCTGAGGAGGAGGATACAGAAACAAACTGCCTGATCTCTGATGATCAACATCAATGATACACCATTTGTCAATGTGGTGGTGGATTAACACTAAGCGGTTTCTGTATTCTAAATGACACACAAAACTGGCATTAAAGGACTGGCCATCTCATATGGGGCTGGGGGAGAAGGCAAGACAGAGTTCATTCTCCCAAAAACTGTCCAAGTGAATGCTTGAAAAACAAATGTTTCACACAGTTAAAAAAAAGAGAAATTGTCTGCCACAAGCAACACATTGTAGCTGGATGGCTTCTTTCCTAACAAAATGTATTTGGACTCATAGTTTTGTATGAAACAAATATCAAATTTGGTAAATAATCTGATCAAATATCTTGTAATCATTTCCATGACTCAGCCCATTCACAAAAAGAAAATGATCGGTCTCAAAATTACGAATTTAAAATCATTTAGACATTTAAGGTTGATGTAAAATATGGTCCTATTATTTCTCCTTCTGCTAGAGAAACAAACCTAAAAGGATGCTCACAACTGGAGCACTATCAATGTAAAGCAGACACTCCCCCGAAATAAGACACCACTGGTGTCAACCAGTCGACAGATACATCGGATATGTTCCCTGGCAGTGAGGAATTATGTATCAATACAGATAGATCACATCAATCAGTTATCAATAAATATCAGAGAAGTAGCTATGAGCATTAAATGTCAAAATAGTGTGAAATCACTGGTGGGTGGTGACATACTTATTTCTAACAACACAGCATCCGGAACATAACTTAGCAGCAGTCCATAAACAGACGTAACTTTATGTATAATGTGTGTAAATTATAACTATATCTCATCACAATAGTGTATGTAATATATTATTAATTACCCAATTTCATATCGATAATCATTAATAATTCTTCCAATCAGCAATATTTATTAATCGATGCTTCCGACTGGTAATACTCCTCATGTTGATCAGATTAGTCTCTGTCACACTGACCACCCCCTACCCCAGCTATGTGAACAGACTACATAATACTATGCAACAATAGTAGTTTTGACATTGCTCTCAAAGTCCTACTGTAAGATGAGACAATAGATATTTGAATATACGGATCTACCTAAATTCCTGCTTTAAGTATGTGAGCTGGACATTTACTGTGTCAGAGATATCACACTTTACTTAAAATGGCAGCTTCTTGATGGTAACATGTTAACTCATGTCGGTACAGTATGGTAGTGGCATCTGAAATATGATAACATTTAGTATTAATGACTTAGGGGTTTCAGCTTCTAACAGTCTGCCAAAGCAACAAGTACAGTTGGTCCTACGGGTGATACTGATTTCTTTATCCAGCAATTCTACTTGCATGAAAAAAGTACACACAACTGTACCAGAATTATCACTGAAAGTTAAAATATGTTGAAATTCCATATTTACTAATTTCCTGACAATCCTGGCTTAATTCATTTTAGTCAATGAATTGTTTCCTACATCTCTGCTTTAATGGTGGAAATGGTTACACTGCTCAAAAAGTAAGTCAGGTATCACACAAGCTCTACCATCCCTTCAGTAGCATATGTCCATTTTGACTGTTCCATTCCCACGGGTGATAAACAAGAAAATATCATCCGTGTAGTTCAGTTTGACTCAGTCAGTGGTTCCAAGCAACTACTCTCTGTGTGTGTGTGTGTGTGTGTGTGTGTGTGTGTGTGTGTGTGTGTGTGTGTGTGTGTGTGTGTGTGCGTGTGTGTGTGTGTACACTGATATATTGCACTACACCAGCAAACTAGCACATGTCAACCCGCTACATGAGCACTGTACCCTGTAACACAACTTCTTGTTTGAGGAGCCCATATAATATAAGAGTGAAATAACCCTAAACTGCTGCCTTAGTCACATAGCACGCTCTACACAGGCATTCTACAACTGCTGGAGACAGTTTCCTGTCTTGGGGGCTTCTGAAAATGAGAAACAATATTATATTCTGGTTTTGCAGGCTCCCCAAATATGTAAAATCTGTTCTACAATGACCACTCAAGAGCAGTGTTCAACAAGAAGGTGCTCTACCCAGCCTGTGTGTCAGCTGTTTTCCATGTCAAGGTCTAACTCCTCCAGTCCATCTCACTGCTGGGAGACGGGTAGAGAGCTGACGGAGGTGATGGTCAAACGTCTCTCCAGCGGGGGTTTGGGCTTGACATTGTGGCGCTGCATGTATGACAGGAACTGGTCCGGGATCTCTTCCAACACTTCCTTAGCGAGTCTAGCCTGGACAGACTGGGGATCCTCGCCATTACGACCAAGGAAGTCTCGCAGCGGCACAAACTGAAACAGATACAAAACAAACTTTGATATAAAGTTTCAACTTTCAAAAATTTACTCCCATTTTTATACAGCTTTACTGGTCATTGGATATGATGATGGTATAGAAGAATATATACTTAAATTTGCTCCATAATTTGAGTCATTGTATGTTTTGATAGGAACAAAGGTAAAGCTATGTTGAAAGTTGGAGAAGGGAATTATGAGGCAAGCTGGCCCACCGTTTGGCCAGTTAGTTGAAGAGGCTACAACGTTACACTAGTTACCTGTACTATGTCTCTCTCAGCATACCGTCCTCGTGACGACAGCCGCACATCATCGCCGTCAAGCACCTCCATGGCTACAAGCAAGACATAACTTTCAATCAACTGTCACAACTTGTAAGGATTTGTAACCAAATGCATGCATATGACAAATTAGGAAAATATGCTGTTGCGGTATTTTTTCAAAGAATTGGAAATTTACTTATAATTCATGAAATTTTGAATCATGTTACATAATTTGGCCTCTACTGACCTCAATATTTTACACTGATCACATATGCCTCAGGGATCATGTATCTTACACATTCGTACTCATACACAGTTTATACTGTGTGACCTTGAACCTTAATGCCATCCAATCATATGTTAGATAATAATCCCCCGGGATATTTCGGGGGTAGTAAGTCTCTAACATTTGTCATAACCGTGTGGCACCTCTGTCTTAGAGATGATGTATCTCAACTTATCATCAACATCGCCAAAGCACCTTTAAAATGTATTTTCATCTGCAAATGTCAAGTTCTTATCCCAAAAACAGTTCTTACAGAATGTATCTCATTCTATAAAATCACACGCCTCAGGCAGAGATTTACTGATAGATGGTACCTTACCGTCAAAGTCTGCATCCCCCACACCAATGATGATGATGGACATCGGTAAACTGGCAGCCTGGAAAAACACAATGTTGGAGGTGAGGTGAAATTGGGTTTAATGTGCTTGAAAATATTTCGCTCATATGACGACGTGCATGCGTGTGTATGTTTATGTGCGGCTGCTTGTACTAGCCCAGACTTAAGCTGGTTTTATAGTGCTAGCCCACTGAGATACCATGCCGCAGTGAAGCATGAATACCTCACTCAGACATTATACTGCCTCCGAGCCGACCAGTCCTTGTTGTACCCATTAATGCCGAACGCCAGGCAGGGACCAACAAGTACCATATGTTAAGGTCTTTTGGTATGACGCAGTCAGGGATCGAACCCTCAACCTTCCGCTCTCCGGGCGGATGCTCTAACCACTACACCAGGGAGGCGGTCACACTATGTTGGAATAAGTACAGTTTAAATAATCGAGGTGTGATCAAGCTGTTGTTAGTTAAGGAGCAATGAACAACTTTGTCCTTAACCTAAAAGCAGAGAACACAGGCTCAGTATATGCAGGTGATTCTAGAGCACATGGTTCTAGAGCACATGGTGTTACAGGTACACAAGGGACAGGATATACAAGAAGGACACTTGGGTCTGGAGTTGTTACGAAGATGATGATATTAACACTACTCACCTTAACGATGGCCTCAGTGGTCTGGGGCATGTCCGTGATAATGCCATCAGTTATGATGAGAAGGATGAAGTAGTCAGCCCCTTGCTGTGAAGTTTGTGCAAAGCTGAAAGGAAACAAGCAAACTTGATCAAGGCATCTGCCTGGTGAAAACACTGTTCTGTAAACGAAAAGCTGTGATGTCAACAAATGCTGGGGCCACAGATCATGCATCCATTGTTATACAGATATAACTGATCCACTCATTTGATCAACTGATACAGTAATGACTGCTTTGATATACTATGATGTATCAATTAACGACATATCCTATTTTGGTGTCAAGTTATGAAACCATAGTCCAGTGAACTTGCAACTTGTCATATGTACAGTGTGTAGACATACAGGAGACAACGGCACATACAGCTACAGGAGACAGGATTACCTTGCCACATGGTTGACGACTGGAGCAAAGTTTGTGGGTCCGTACAACTGGACAGAGTGTAGAGTCTTGTGGTAGGAATCCAGCACGCCCTGCACGCCATGGCAGTATGGGTTGTTGGGGTTACCATTCTGAAATATACACGTACACTACATGGAGTACAGACGTTTCTCTTCTACTTTGGACTAAAAACTAAAGATATATGTAGGATAAGTGTGTGTGAAGGATAAGGTTGTAACGATTCACTCGCATATTCGCTGAATCGAACCGTAGCCCTTCATGAATTCAATTCGTTATTCGTGGTTACCAGAACCGAATATTAACAAATATTTACGATTTTTTTAAGGGAGCATGTTTTACTTGAACCCTTATGTCCTTTCCAAGTCATGTTAGTTTGCCAAGGCCGCACATGGTACTGTTGACTATAACTATTACATACCAAATTTGAGTGTCATGAGATCACTGGTTATTGCTGTGACAAATCAAAACTGTCAACATGGGCGTTCCATAAAGTGCATCAATCACTTAACTACAATATTGTAACCGTGAATAATTATTCGTATTCGTTACCCAAAATTCATGATACGTATCATATTCACCAAATAGTGTATTCGTTGCAGCCCTAGTGAAGGACATGACTTTTGACATTTAAACAATCACAGCCCTTCCATGAACATCATTAATGAAGATGTCCTATAAGCCATGGCCATTTCATATCATGATCACGTCTGAAATTCAGTCAAAGAACTCCAGAAAGCAGTAGCAGCAGCAGCGGCGGAATCAACAGAATTATTAAGCATAAACACAGGTAGGCTTATTTGTGCCAATGGAGGGTTATCTCCCTTGTGACATCAAATACACAAGCCTGTGTCATTAGGTTTGAAATGCTACAGTCACACGAATACGCGTGAAAGATCTTTCATTGTCACTAGTTCTACCCATTCAGCAACATCTCAAAACCTCAAGGTGTAACAAATATAAGCCTCAGTACTTACCAATGCAAACTCATGAGACACAATGCCATCAGGAGGTAGTCTGGCACCGAATCCAAGAGCAGGGAACAGTTTGTCACTGAGGAAAGAAGCAGCACATGAACACAACCCTGGCCTGATTACTGCAACTACTGATAACATACCCAGGCTTTCAAATGTACTTCCCTCTTATTGTTGTAATAATCCACAAATGGACAAATCTATCTCACTTATGAAATCAGATTTCACCCCATTCTTATCTAAACTATCACTGTTTGCTAAAACTGTTCTTAGTCTTTTCTTAACAAATATTTCCACTTATATGTTATTGTATCATAAACGATTGTATGTTCTCTATATCATTTTGTATGATTTATGAGAATAAAATTCTGTTCTGTTCAAATCCATTCATTTCTAAGGCTATGATAAATCTTCCAAGAGCTGGTTCATTTCCTTCTGGGTGCTCATCATTTATATTTAAACGTATGAACACGACTTTTCAGGAGTCTACATTCTGGTTACCAACTTACTGGGTACCAACTTACTGCTGAAGAACCCCAAACACTGTCTGTTGTGTAACACCAGACTCAGCAATATACCAGCTATGTGATAGCCTGTAAATACTCCAGGAGGAACCAGGCAATCTAGTGATTAACATCTTCCATCCAATTTCCCCAGTGGGATATACCAAGTCAGGTAGCTTGGTCACCTTATGAAATCAGTTGCCTCTTATGACAAGCATGAGTTATGACCACCAATTCCAAGTTGGGTGTCTCCTCTCAGTGAATTGACTTTGAACAGCATTTCCCTTTTATCACAATATGTCAGCTTAATGTTGGAGAAAGTGATGCATGTTATAATAACCAATCACTTGGTAAAACAAAACAGTCAATCAGTTACTATTAGTCAAAGTTTAACTGATCTGGAACACAGGGGAGATAATTCTGTGCAACACTCCTCTGTTCACATAGCAACACTCACGTATCATAATCCTGGATGATATCTCCGACAGCACGGACAGCGGTGGCGTATGGGTTAGGTCTGTAGGGGTTCATGTAGTGCAGAGAGGTAGGAGTCTTTGGGTCACCGTTAGAGGCGGTAAAATCAACAGCAAATGTGCAGTGTAGTCGAGTCCTGAAATGTTTTAATAAATACAGAAAACTCAATCAGTACTCATCTATTAATGTAGGTAACCGACCAGTTGCTATCTAGTAATCACACGAACGAGTCTGCTGGCCACATGGTCAAATATGACATCACAGCTGACTGTTGGCACTTAAGGTACCACACTGAGAGTCCATGGTGGACACAAAATATTTCTCTGACAAGGGTTCTTTGAACTTTTGATGATAAACACATAAGATGTATCCACAAAACAGTGAACCAGATCTTACGAGCTGAACGTTCATGTACATACCTAGGAGGGTACGAGGCTAATCAGCTGATCACATTCCTGTTGTTAACACAAGTAACTCATACCCCAGTGGTTGATGACATGAGTGAGTGAGTGAGCTTAGTTTTATGCCGCATTTAGCCATATTCCAGCAATATCAAGGCAGGGGACACCAGAAATGGCCTTCACACATTGCACTCATGTCGGGAATCAAACCCGGGTCTTCAGCATGACGAGCAAACATCTTAACCACTAGGCTACCCCACCACCCCTTGGTGACATGCGCAAACCCTATCACTAAAGGATCACATTACACACTGTAATCACTCATTCATGAAGGGATAACTTACCCTCCCCTAATGTAATCCAGGAAAGTGTACACCTTCGCAATCTGGCAGGACATCAGCTCAACCTGAAGCAGCAAAACTATTTCATCAACAAAACCAAGAGCACATAACTGTGTCATCATTACAAGACTTCTATGCTTTAATTTGTCTCAGACTACCATAGTCCCCATACAGACTGACACCAGGGAGAGATCAGTGTTGTCACTGAGGCCACACACAAAACAGCAGGGGAATCAGGCAGAGAGTGAATGTGTGAGTGGTCCTAGCAATGTTACATCGAAGCTCCTTCCAAATCTCAAATATATTCCATTCTACAAAGCTATCTTACTGCCAAGACAACAATCACAACTCTCATACTGTTACATACTCTTACAAGTGGAATCTGTTCCTGGACCTGGTAAATAATTACTGTATATTACCTTAGATAAGCCGATCTCATAGATAAGCCAAGGTCCTATCTTGACCCTTAAAATCTGTATCAAAATGGTATGTCCCGTACATAAGCCGAACCACCAACAATCTTCTTGCCATGAGCATTGGAAATGGAGTAAATGGAAAAGTGGTTTCACTGTCAATCATGCACATAGCTATTCCTTGGTGTAGTCAGTCCTCACAAGCACTGGGTATGGGGGGATCTTTCTGTCCCTCCAACTGCTACCACGACAGGAAGTACGACAGGAAGAATGACACAGTATGACAGTATGACAAAGTCTGTTTGACAACACACTTACCACTCCTGAGTTCTTGTACTTGTTCCCTTTCTTTGCCTTCTTCTTCGGACTAATACACTGAAACACAATGTCATCATGTTTAGTACACTGTAACAATTCAACTCATACACTGTAACACAATGTATTGAATATTGCAGTACACTGTCATTCATGTATTGACGACTGTAACACAATGTATTGTATAGTATGACCAGAAATTATTGAGAATTTTAGGAATATCTTTAATAGACCGATCCAGTCCCGGCCTATAAGCCCCGCCCACTTCGTTTTTGACGTTAGGGGGGACAATCACTGGCAAATCACAATGGCGTCACCGCCGGCGAAACGTTACGTGATTGCGAACGTTGTTGATGAATTCTGCTTGTGATACTTTGGTATCCGTCGTTTGTGAATGTTATTTAAAGAGGCAAGTTATACGTATGTGATTTTTAATATATTTTAGCTGGCAGATTACAACTGGCGGAGCGAGTGAAAATGAGTTACATGCCCGATGAAAAATCGTCTCGACTAGCTGCTGAGACTGTAGGAAGCGTAATTTCTTTCGAATCAATTAATCTATCTGGCAATTCACCTCCGTCACAGATATTAGCAGGGGAAGGATAACTGAATTTTGTTGTTTGGGTTTATAATTTTTTAAAACTCGTGAACACAACCACATGTTCATGATGCAGATCGTTTCGGTATCTATAAATAGATTATCAACACTGCACGTGGTGCCTTTACTTATCCGTTGGCGTTGTTCAAATTTAGTTAATAATCTGAAAACATGGGTTTCTATCTTTTAATGAATTAAGAGAATGGTAAATAAAAAGCAGAAAATATTTCCCGTCTACTACTTCATGCACCTTATTTGTCTGTACAATTAATGTAAACAAATCAATCACAGCATAACCTATTTGATCTTATTTGGAAATCTGGAAAAGGTAATTGGGCTTGTAAACAATATGTTTCCATGGACGTCTCTGGACATACCCAGAAGCAAATATTCAACAGCTGATCTGCAGCAACTCTCAGTAAAGTTTCTCTCTTCAAAATCTGTACACCAAGATAAAATGACACTGAATAAAAGGAAATCATTTTTTTAATCATCATTTCCATTTAATTTTTCTATAAGTACTTTGTTGTGGAATCCTAATTTACATACAAACTTCCACAATACTGGACTTCATGAACTGCCAGCGTTTATGTACAGGTATGTCACAGCACCATAACACAAAGAAGATCCAAGATGCAGTCTGCACCTGTACACTAGCTAACCCATCTTCCAGAAATAGGAAACATGTGATGCAAAATTTTGGAACAGAGAATCCACAGTTATCCGAACAATTAACTAGCATTGAAATAGAATGTTACACAAAATACAAATGAAGATCTATTGTTTTTTCATCAGAGACGTTTAACTGCTAACTACTAGTGTAAATAAGGTGCAAAGAAACTATCCTATGTTCAAAGCCTTCTGTCAATACAATTAAATATTGACATTATTGCTTCTTAATTAAACAATGATAATCTTTGTTTTATTAGATCTGAGACCATATCCCCAGAGGACATAACTCTGATTTTGATCTATTTCCTTTTCTGAAATACTGACTGGTGTCATAAAAATTATAGTAAAGTTGATTCAAAATTTGGTAAAAGTCATAACAAAGGTTTAGGAAAACAGACATGAAAATGTCCCGAAGCGTTCACCTCCTACAAACCAGTGTGCAATTTAACATGAAGCTCATTTTGCAAATAACCATCAACAAACCTTGAACAATTTGTCCAAATCCACCATCTTAATAAACACTAGCTTTGGCTCAGTCTTCAAATATTAGTAACCTCCTAAAAAACTTATGATTTATCAGAAGAATTACATCAAATATGGGTTAAATATATGTTTCAATATTTATTCCGTTACATGAAAAGTCACCTGAGATTTTTGTAAGTTATTCTGTTCCAGGACTGGATAATGCCTGACCAGGGTTTGACCAAAACGTAGCCTTTGCTTTTTCAAATTTTCTGGATATTGAAATAACTTTAATGAGTTATGATACTAGCAATCACTTTCAGAATTATCTTATTAGTAAATGTAGTATTTAAAAAAAACATCTAAAAGCAGGAGCCAAGAAACTAAGTTCATACCAAGTGATTGTCCTGCCATGATATGTATGGTGTTTGTTTGCCTAGTTCTGCCTTAAAATCTAAAAAATCCGATATGTCAATCAATTAAATAATTATTTATTATTGATTAGATTATTAGTATTAATTTTATTACCCTTCCACGTTTACTAAAAAAAGCAAGATTCTTAAAACATACCTTGCTATCATTTCCAGTGAATTAATCAAAATTACAGTTGTAATATTACTCCTAAAATGTACCATTATATGTGAATAATTTATGTGGTAACAAAACTTCAAATAATGTTCTCATAATTAAGATATACACTTTATTTCACTCCGTCCAATACTCTAGAAAGCCACTATTCTTCTCACATAGTTTTCGTATTCGATCAACATGGAGGATGGTAATTCAGTTCAAAGTCCCATGCAACTCTTTATAAAAAATCTGAAATATTTAAAGCATGGTTTTATAGGCACTCATATGAACTAATTTTGACACTTGGATATTGCATGATAGGCAACTGCTGACACTAACAATATTTCCGTTTGAATAAAAAATATTACTCCTCGAATATTTTGCTCTGTTAACAAGATACTGTAGGCCTTCAGATTGTGCTTATGAAACTTAAAACATCTTAAAATGTGTGACAAATTGAAGAATATCTAAGAGCGAAGGGGACAATATCCGCCACATTGTTCTTTCATGTAACAAGTTTTGCTATTTCGGTTGACCCTAACCGAAATGAAGATTTGTTTACATTGTGCGACGGCTTTCTCGCCTGTCTCATTTGAGCTTTATGGCGTACCAACTCAATGCCTAGTAGTGACTAAAACGTTAAGCAAAACAATTTTGTAGTTACAAAATTGTCCGTGTTTATAACACTTGCAAAGTCTTAAACTGCTATTTGTTGTCATCAATTGGTAATGATTTTGCACATGTGCAAAAGTGTGAAATTCGTGCACATTCTCCTCAGCAGGCAGACGTAGGTTTTTTGAACGATGGTGCAGACATTTAACTGATCGTTAGGCCTATCGCGTTTCTTGATCCGCCTCCATTTTTGTTGTCTTGACCGTAATGGTTTTGTTAAGGTATACATCAAATCGAAGCAATATGTAATAAATATAGCGAGTGTAAATGGCATAATTCGAAGCACATCGTTTCGAATGCATCGTTTGACCCCGGAAATAAGTCTGACAAAACCACACAGCGCTCCCGGCCCGCTGATTGGCCAAAATTGACGCATGCGCCAGTTTTGATTGACAGACTGGATCGGTCTATTGGATTTCTAGAATAAACAACCTTGACCAGCTATCAAGTGCTTGGTTTCATTCAAGAGAGACAACTTTGTTAATCCTTTTTCATTAGTTTGTGAAGAGTTATCCCCCTTTGTTTACTTGCTAGCAGGCAACATTTTCAGTGATCCTCAGTATGGATGATTTAGAGAAGAGGAAGTTGATTGAGTATTATAACAAGGACATCAGATCAGTAATTTCAAGTAGAACAGGCATCCCTTTGTCCACTGTTTATCGTGTTTTTATAAATATTGCAAATGGATATGGCATTGAGCACCAGGGAGGCGCAGGTAGGCCCTGAAAATTGACTGTCGGTGACAGGAGGCGGCTTGGTATTCTTGTTTCTAAAAACAAACAAAGGAGTTTAGAAAACTTAAGGCTAGATATGATTGATAGAGGAACTGTTAGAACTGAGCTGCATGCAGTGGGTTGGCAGAGAAGTTGAGGAATTTCATCACCAATCATGAAACCTGAACAAAAGGAGCAAAGGTTGAACTGGTGCTTACAGCATAGAAATTTTAACTGGGACAATGTGATTTTCTCAGATGAAAGTTCTGTGTGGCTGTTTCCTAATACACTGAAATTCTGGACCAAACAAACTGAAAAACCTTTGTATCAGCGCCAAAAGTACAGTCCGAAACTTAACGTGTGGGGTGGCATATCTGTGTTAGGGGCAACGCCCTTCTGTGTATTTGAAGGGAATATGAACAGTGAGCGGTACACAGATATTCTTGAGGGACATTTACTTCCATCTGCTCACGTGTTCTATGGAAATTTTTGGATTTTCCAGCAGGACAACGACCCAAAACATCGTTCAAAGCATTCACAGGCCTGGTTTCGGACCCAAAATATGACATTATTAGATTGGCCAAGCTATAGCCCTGACCTAAATCCAATAGAAACTGTTTGGGGACTTATGAAGGAACGTGTCAATAAGAAAAATCTCACAAATATTGCTGAAATGAAAGAAGAGGTAGTCCGATATTGGGACAACATGGACCACGACTTTCTAACTTCTTTGATCAGTATAGTGTGCCCCGCCGCATTGAAGCCTGCATTGCTGCCCATGGTGACTTGACAAGATACTAACTGTTCACCTGTCTTTGAATCTGGAGTTATGTTCTGCTAATATTCACATATAATACTTGAGTAATGAGTGAAAAAAATATATAAAATTACAATCTTAAATTCTCAATAATATCTGGTTGTACTGTATATTGGAGTACACTGTCATTCATGAATTGTGCACCACAAAACATAATCACCATAATTTACCTGGAACCTTTCTGCATTATACAAAATGATTAGATTAGATTAGATTAGATTAGAAAACAGCTTCATTTATGTATCGGTACTGAATACTGCAGAAGCTAATGTCAGTCATGAAATGCTCAAAGAAAGAGAGATGATGAAAGAAAATTGAATGGATTACATCACAATCAAACAATGTTATTTCAGCATCACTGGAAGATGCCCTTTTGAATATTTTGGGGTTTGGGTTATAAATGAAAGAGGAATTGATAATACAATAAAGATAAGCATTACGTGGCATCGTCAATTGTAACATGATGTCAATACAATCGAGGGTAATGCCACATCTGTTTCACAACTAGGCCAGTTCTCTTAGCCAGATAGTTCTTCAGAAAATGAATGGAAACGTGTCTTTCACAATGCTCATCATGCTCATTTCAGATTTGCTGATTGAATTGAAAACTTTACACCCAGTAATTAGAAATATCCAAGCATCAAATACTCAATAAATGAGCCAATGTGAACAGGGAATATGAAAGTAAAGTTTGGGTATTGAATGAAGGACCCAACTTCTACTCACCTCATATTTATTTTGTTCTATTCTGCCCCTTGACAGCTCCCGCAGTGAGGTGGTGAATTCCCCAATAAAATCATGCCTGCAACCAACACAGAAGAACAAGTGAGGACACCAGTATCAACACAGCTTATCTTTATGTCACCTCATCAATAGATGTAACCATGGATATTCAGTAGCATATGGGAACCAGGTGAGATAAGTCATATTACTATAAACATTCTTGCACATCTCAGGCAGTTTGGGTTAGGCAGGATAAAATGTCCTGTATGTTGTATGGTAGCGCATGCCACTATGGCATAACGTTCAGCACTATACAAGTGGCCCTATTATTTTCACTATTACCGTTACTGCACCATCCTGGGCCTACTTGCACAAAGCGATCTCAGCGCTACAATGACTGTAACTCCCATTCTCCAACATAGGCTTAAGATAGTCGTAGCGCTAAGATCGCTTTGTGCAAGTGGGCCCTGGTGGTCATACACTTACCCTCCATCCGCATCCCAGTCATAGCATTCGATCTTGATGGACCTGGGGACAGAGACAAATCAATAAATAATACAGCCACTATTTGTTGTGCGGTACAGGGACAATGTTTCCTGCACATACCCTGATAAATTCAACATCAATTCTTACCCAAAACCATACTTCACAGTGGGGCTGATTGTAAAGAATAACTATACCCAGCAACAAAAGTTCTTGTGACGCTATTAAAATTGGTGTAGAAAAACACATAAGAAAACAAAGTTAATACAAACACTTTTATTTCATAGAACACATTTGACCTGCTAATGACAACCTTAATTTCGGATTAGTGACCATTTCAAAGGGTAAAACACCAATCTGAATGCTTAGGGGGTAAAATGAAAAGTCCCACTCTAATACCGGGTATGACCACCAGCAGAGTTGATACAACACACCTCCGTCCCATGGAATTAATCAGTCGTGTATGACATCGTTGTGGGATGTTGTCCCAGATCTCACGAAGACGTTGTTGCAGTTGCTGCAGCATTACAGGCGGATTTGGTGAGCGTCGCAAGCCTCTTTCCATTTCATCCCACACATGCTCAATAGGCGACATGTCCGGTGACTTAGCTGGCCAGGGAAGCACATCAACATTGTTCTGAGCCAGAAAACGTTGAACAATACGGGCAGTGTGCGGTCTGGCTTTGTCCTGCTGTAACGTCATCCCTGGTCCATGTTGCCGTATGAGCGGTAAAACTGCTGGTTGGAGAACCACTCCCGATATCGCTGCCCTGTCAGATTACCAGCGATGATGAGGAGGTCTGTCTTGTTTGTAGCCGTAATTCCACCTCAGATTATCACGCTACCGCCTCCGAACCAATCAATTTCCATTACATAATTGTCAGCATAACGTTCGCCACATTGACGGTAAACTCGCACACAGCCATCAGCTCTGTGAAGCGGAAATCTGGACTCAGCTGTGAAGAGGACATGATTCCACTGACCTTGAGTCCATCTCACATGCTGTCTTGCCCACTGCAGACGTCGTTGGCGATATTGTAACGTCAAAATCGGCCGTCTTGATGGGCGTCATGCGATGATCCCAAAACACCTTAAACGTCGACGAACGGTTTGTGGTGATATTCGCCTCAGTCCAAGGATGGTTGCTGCCGTGACTGTTGCTTGCTGGAAGCGGTTCCGAAAGTGTGTCTGTCAAATCCAGTTGTCTTGACATCGGGTCGTTACCGGGGGGTGGACCATTACGAGGACGGTCTCTGACGTGATTTGTCTGTTGGTGTGGCTGCCACAAGTTCCATACTGTGTTTCGATGGACATTGAATCTGCGAGCACCTTCTCGTTGTGGAGTACCGGATTGGAGCATTCCAATAACTCGCCAACGTTCATTTTCTGTTAGCCTTGGCATAACAATTGTTTAATTCTGCTGAGAAATTTGATGTTTTTTTCAGGTTGCACTCCTTCAACGTGTCTTTATCAGGAATGAAACATTCTCTCCACTACCCAGGTTTAAAGATCCACAGTCTAACACATTCTCTCCACTACCCAGGTTTAAAGATCCACAGTCTAACACATTCTCTCCACTACCCAGGTTTAAAGATCCACAGTCTAACACATTCTCTCCACTACCCAGGTTTAAAGATCCACAGTCTAACACATTCTCTCCCACTACCCAGGTTTAAAGATCCACAGTCTAACACATTCTCTCCACTACCCAGGTATAAAGATCCACAGTCTAACACATTCTCTCCACTACCCAGGTTTAAAGATCCACAGTCTAACACATTCTCTCCACTACCCAGGTTTAAAGATCCACAGTCTAACACATTCTCTCCACTACCCAGGTTTAAAGATCCACAGTCTAACACATTCTCTCCACTACCCAGGTTTAAAGATCCACAGTCTAACACATTCTCTCCACTACCCAGGTTTAAAGATCCACAGTCTAACACATTCTCTCCACTACCCAGGGTTTAAAGATCCACAGTCTAACACATTCTCTCCACTACCCAGGTTTAAAGATCCACAGTCTAACACATTCTCTCCACTACCCAGGTTTAAAGATCCACAGTCTAACACATTCTCTCCCCACCCAGGTTTAAAGATCCACAGTCTAACACATTCTCTCACTACCCAGGTATAAAGATCCACAGTCTAACACATTCTCTCCACTACCCAGGTTTAAAGATCCACAGTCTAACACATTCTCTCCACTACCCAGGTTTAAAGATCCACAGTCTAACACATTCTCTCCACTACCCAGGTTTAAAGATCCACAGTCTAACACATTCTCTCCACTACCCAGGTTTAAAGATCCACAGTCTAACACATTCTCTCCACTACCCAGGTTTAAAGATCCACAGTCTAACACATTCTCTCCACTACCCAGGTTTAAAGATCCACAGTCTAACACATTCTCTCCACTACCCAGGTATAAAGATCCACAGTCTAACACATTCTCTCCACTACCCAGGTTTAAAGATCCACAGTCTAACACATTCTCTCCACTACCCAGGTTTAAAGATCCACAGTCTAACACATTCTCTCCACTACCCAGGTATAAAGATCCACAGTCTAACACATTCTCTCCACTACCCAGGTTTAAAGATCCACAGTCTAACACATTCTCTCCACTACCCAGGTATAAAGATCCACAGTCTAACACATTCTCTCCACTACCCAGGTTTAAAGATCCACAGTCTAACACATTCTCTCCACTACCCAGGTTTAAAGATCCACAGTCTAACACATTCTCTCCACTACCCAGGTTTAAAGATCCACAGTCTAACACATTCTCTCCACTACCCAGGTTTAAAGATCCACAGTCTAACACATTCTCTCCACTACCCAGGTTTAAAGATCCACAGTCTAACACATTCTCTCCACTACCCAGGTTTAAAGATCCACAGTCTAACACATTCTCTCCACTACCCAGGTATAAAGATCCACAGTCTAACACATTCTCTCCACTACCCAGGTTTAAAGATCCACAGTCTAACACATTCTCTCCACTACCCAGGTTTAAAGATCCACAGTCTAACACATTCTCTCCACTACCCAGGTTTAAAGATCCACAGTCTAACACATTCTCCCCACTACCCAGGTTTAAAGATCCACAGTCTAACACATTCTCTCCACTACCCAGGTTTAAAGATCCACAGTCTAACACATTCTCTCCACTACCCAGGTTTAAAGATCCACAGTCTAACACATTCTCTCCACTACCCAGGTTTAAAGATCCACAGTCTAACACATTCTCTCCACTACCCAGGTTTAAAGATCCACAGTCTAACACATTCTCTCCACTACCCAGGTTTAAAGATCCACAGTCTAACACATTCTCTCCACTACCCAGGTTTAAAGATCCACAGTCTAACACATTCTCTCCACTACCCAGGTTTAAAGATCCACAGTCTAACACATTCTTCACAAAATTTCTCGTGCAAAGTAATTTTTTCATGATTTGCAAACATTACCTTGACAGATGCGTTTGGATACTCTGTCATGGTGCCGTGAACCCGTTTTTTTATGATTTGTATACAAAAGTTAGTATTCATTAAAAAATATCCATGTCACAAGAACTTTTGTTGCTGAGTATATATTTCTATGATGGCCTTTGAGGAACCTACCTGTCGTGGTCCCCATTACATAGAGACCGCACTGGGATAACTAACGGCTTCCAGGTGGGGTTCAGTGTCTTCTTGATCACTTCTGTTCGGTGTACGATGGTGAAACTTCAACACAGGTAACAAAAAATAAATCAACCAGTATATCAAACAAGCAAGTGGCTAGTTGAGTCATTGAGTGTATTACCACCTCTCACTTGCCCAAACTTTAACTACCCAATGTTTTCAGTACATGTTCCTGTGAAGATCAGGGTTAGAATTGGTCTTCAGTAACTGTTGTAAGAGGCAACTAAAAGGATCGGGAGGTCGGGCTTTCTGACTTGGTTGACACATGTCATCGTATCCCGTAGATGTATGCTTATGCTGTTGATCACTGGATTGTCTGTTCCAGACTCAATTATTTACAGACCAACGCCATTTGACTGGAATATTGCTGAGTGTGGCGTTAAACAACAAAGAAAACAACCATTCCGTGGATTGTCACAAGTTTATGTTAGAAGGGGCGACTAGTGTCCTGTTTCTTTTCAAGTCTAAGTCTATTTTGATTCAGAGCAGTGTGGCTACAGTGATTATCTTCATCTAAACAATGTGTACAACTCATTTCTGGTGTCAGTTGCCATGATATTACTGGAACAATATGAATCATACTGCCACAAATGGCACTAAACCATACTCACTCACTCACTCACTCACTCTCTTGATTCAAGTACTATCACACATAAGGTTGATCTTAACAATGAGATTGATGCTCATGCTGTTGATCACTGGATTGTCTAGTCCAGTCTTGATTATTTACAGACAGATGCCTGGTGCAGTATTACACAACAAACCTGCCAATGTGACCAGAAATCTTAACCAACTAACCAACCAACCACTTTAAAGATTCTGGCTATTCTCACCTGCCATCCTCGTTGCATCTGTTAAGTGTCAGGAATGGATCGGATTTGCCGAAGAAGTCCTTTTTGTCAAGTTTGTGAGCACAAAACTGCATTGTTGCTTGCTCCTGGAGAGAGAGAGAGAGGCATTTGTTATCCAATGTAGAGTTGCCTCCCCTTGGTCAACAACAGCTGGTATGTTTCAGTATAGATTTACCAGGTGACCTATTATCGAAGTGTATTAAATCCACTGATTAATGATTTCTTATGTCGACCGACTAACATCATGTACACTGCACAGGATAAACGTTCAGCATTTTACTACAGAATTTCTGTTCTTCATTAACATATGGTTCATATCAATTTATTCCAGAGTTTACAGTCCAAGCCTCTAGTTGACATGTCTCAAGCTGCAAGTATTGTCTGACATTTACACAAGGCAGTTTTATAGTTTGCTTTACATCATCCAACAGGGCTGTTTGTCATAGGATTTCGAGAACACAGCACCCAGCAAAGGGCAGATGGCACTATTTGGGGGAAAACACTGTCCTCTCTTTCAAAGGGATTCATAAGTTCAAAATAGAACTGATTGTTCACATTTACAAATGTCCAGTATATATTATCCATTAATGTAAGACCTAGTTTTGAAAGACCAATGTTTACCAAGTCACAATTACACTGGTTTACCACAGAGAACCAACTGGATTGATGATGGAGAGCAAGAATTGATCATTTACTCATCAAAGACTTTTGAAGACAAGAAACTGTTTCAAACCTACCTTACAGCTGCTTAGCTCCTCCGCAGTAACTACAATCAAGTATATTATCATTATTGTGACATGGGAATATGAAACAATGTTGTTTTGTAACACAGCTTTGAACACAGCTAAACCACAGCATCTTGATATGGTGGGGAAGCCCAGAGTGGCACAGGTTTAAGTTATCAGGGTTCTATTCTGGCTTACAAAAATGGAATAAAATCAATGATATTTAGTGAAACACCACTGTGTCAAAATATTGGTTGCATCCAAGTAAAGTTTGGTCCCTTCACAGGCATTTCTTTTTTCGTAATTACTGGTTGTGTTAAACCTCGTGCAATGTGAAGTTGAGTTGAGTTGAGTTGGGCTTTACGTCACATCGGCATTATTCCAGCCATATAGTGATGAGAACAAGTCTGCATTAATATACATTGTAAGTACAAAGTGGTTTCGTTTCAAGTGCAATGTGAAGTATTTACGTAGGTCCCATCAACCTTGACAACATTGTTTGCCTGTATGGACAGTGGTCAGGACTGACGGATGAAATGACAGAGGCCCATAACTGCTCTTGATGCACCAGAGGTACAATCAGCATTATTGTGCATCCTTCGGGAATCTTTTTTCGCATCCATTCTCTACAGTTTTGCATGCCGAATTCACATCCTGGATTTTATCTAACATCAGTGTAAATCTGGAATTTGATCACAGGCTCATTACACTACAAGGGGAGGTAACTCCGAACAGCACATTGCTGCACCTTCACAGTTGGGCCACCAATAACTCCCTGATCAGGCTAACAGAAGGAAACACATACTTTTCTTCCATTCAATTATTACTAAAGTACTCACTAGCAATTGAGCCACTCTTCTTCTTAGGTCCGCTGTGGAAAGAAAAAGAGCATGTAAACAGTGTTGGTAAATAATGGCCTTTGTAGGTTTATTTCAGATTTGTTTCTGTTACATACCAATCTAAGGACCCACAAAGCTCCTGATTTCTATGTTGTCGTGGTTACAAGAATCCCTCGACTTAATTCGAAAAAAAGATGAAGTCTTAATGACATAAACATAAACATGATATGATGGATGAATGCGTGAATGTAGTTCATGTCTAGTCATCATTATTGAAGTAACACACAGCAGTAAGTAACTAAAAGATTCAGAGCATGTCTTCCAATAATCAGGAGGTAATGAGGACCTGTTGAAGCCGAAAGTACCCACAGTGTCTTCAATTTCTAGTATTTGTGAACTATCCAATAAAATAAACAAAGTTAGAATGTCAATAATTTAAACACTTAGAATTGTTGATTCTTTTCAGCCTCCAGCATTAACCATATTAAATTCCTGGTTTGTTGGCTGGGTGGTGGTAGACTGTTATATCATGCTACTACTGACTACAACATCAAACAATCATTCACTAGCTATCTTAGCAATTTTGTTAATTTCATATGACTTTTTTCATGCATAAATAATATCAAAACATTGATTGAAAAGTGAGCGAGTGAGTTCAGTTTTACACCGTACTCAGCAATATTCCAGCTATAAGGCTTTAGCCTGTAGAGTCTGACAATAAAGTGATCAACAGCATGAGCATCGATCTATGCAATTGGGATATGATGACATGTCAACCAAGCCAGCGAGCCTGACCACCCAATCCCGTCAGTCACATCTTACGACAAGCATGTGTTACTGAAGGTCAATTCTAACCCGGATCTTCACGGGTCGATTGAAAGGAGAACATTGAGAAGGACATCTATTGTTTGCCACACCTGTTTACATGGCATACCAATGCATACAATATTCATTCTATCATGACTTCAGTAAATACTGGATTGTGATTGTTAAATCAAAGTCATTTAGAGGTATATAATCACGTTATATACCTCTGATTTTCCAACACAGTAGGTATGTTTTTAAAATCTTAATAACGAAGTTATGGTAGAATGGAGATAAACGTACTGTGTTGGAACATCAGAGGTATATAACGAAATTATAATAGCTCTAAATGTTTTATTTAAGCATACTTTTGTGTAGTTTTACAATATTGATGAAATCAAACACTTCACTGTTGTGCTACAATGGAAAGCCTACACTGTTGTTAATGACAGTGGCACTATGGCAAGCCTACACTGTTGTTAATGACAGTGGCACTATGGGAAGCCTACACTGTTGTTAATGACAGTGGCACTATGGCAAGCCTACACTGTTGTTAATGACAGTGGCACTATGGGGCGCCTACACTGTTGTTAACGACATTATGGCACTATATGGGGAAGCCTATGCGGCGCTCCACACTGTTGTTAATGACAGTGGCACTATGGGAAGCCTACACTGTTGTTAATGACAGTGGCACTATGGGAAGCCTACAGTGTTGTTAATGACAGTGGCACTATGGCAAGCCTACACTGTTGTTAATGACAGTGGCGACTATGGGAAGCCTACAGTGTTGTTAATGTGGCACTATGGGAAGCCTACAGTGTTGTTAATGACAGTGGCACTATGGGAAGCCTACAGTGTTGTTAATGACAGTGGCACTATGGGAAGCCTACACTGTTGTTAATGACAGTGGCACTATGGGAAGCCTACACTGTTGTTAATGACAGTGGCACTATGGGAAGCCTACAGTGTTGTTAATGACAGTGGCACTATGCCTACACTGTTGTTAATGACAGGAAGGCACTATGGGAAGCCTACACTGTTGTTAATGACAGTGGCACTATGGGAAGCCTACAGTGTTGTTAATGACAGTGGCACTATGGGAAGCCTACACTGTTGTTAATGACAGTGGCACTATGGGAAGCCTACAGTGTTGTTAATGACAGTGGCACTATGGGAAGCCTACAGTGTTGTTAATGACAGTGGCACTATGGGAAGCCTACACTGTTGTTAATGTCAGTGGCACTATGGGAAGCCTACACTGTTGTTAATGACTCATGTCTTTGCGAGGATTAAAGATTTAACAAGAAGACAAAGTCATCAATATCCCCCTCAATGGCAAAATACTCTTCATGATTATGTCTACGAGTTATGATTATGTCAAATATTTAGGTGTGTACATAGAAAAGTGGAAGGAGAGTATTGAAAGGTTTTTAAAGTTCTGCTCCAGCAAGTAGCACTATCACCAATTTCAGTCTATGTCAAACTTGTTGCCACGGAAACGCCAAAAATATTTTATTCACAATTCCAAAACTACCAAAAGGCACCAGTACACCACCAGATCTATCTATGTGCCAAGTTTGGTGAAGAAATAGTGAACGGTTTTAGAGTTCTGCTCCGGAAAACATAAATGTGCACGGACGGACAGAGTCCATTTTAATACCCCCACGCAAAACGCGTTGCGGGGGATAAAAAATATTGTTTTTGAGATGACCCCTGACTCGAAATGCTTCACAGTATAATACATTATGACAAGGCCGGACACTTTGGTGCACCCTGCCCGCCTGCTTTGCCGATCGCTACACTTCCATCGCATGCAATCAATTAAAAGGTAATGCAAACATAATCATTGGCCTTTTGATCACCACTCATGACACCTACCAATTCTTTATTGTTATTTCAGCAAGTTGACTGAAACCCGATTTTGACTCAACTAAACAACAATCTTGACACAAATAGATGACGATATCTCCACACAAAACGGGGGTGTGGTCGAAGCAAGCCCTCTGGTTGGTTGATGTTTGTTAAGGAGACATTTACAAATGATGCTTTTGCTGGAAAAAAATCTTACATTTCTTTCAAGTCAAGCAGTCGATGAAAGTAAAATTTCCCAAGAATTTATAAAGAATGTGCAGATTTAGCAGCATTGACGAACCAGAGGGCTTGTTTCGACCACACCCCTGCAAAGACAGAAGTGCCTGTGTATGGGGGGAGGGATGGAGGGGTTGAAGCTACACTGGGTCCTTATTGCATCAAACGTTATCCATTAGCCTAGTGAATGAGCAAAATTTAATTTTGGTTGTTTAAACTCAGCTAACTATAGTCAATAAAATAAACATATATCAATATACAACTAAACATGAATACAGAATTAGTAAATGTAACATATCAAGAGAATTAATGACAAAAATATTTTTTCGGACAGTACATTTAACTAAGAAGTATTATTCTAATCCCTTATGAAAAAGAACAAAGCTCCTTAATCAAGTGGGTTGATGTGCCTGTAGTTAGTTGTGTATGAAGTCTTGCTATCAAGAGTAATGGCTTTTGAGAAGTTGTGTTGCAAGTTATTGTTACTGCCTTGGTGCTAACACAGCTTTATCCAGTGTGTGCAGTATGGAAGTGTGTAGCTGTGAATGGGAGAGTGAGGGGGTGAGGTTGTGAGGGGGTGAGGTTGTGAGGCGGTGAGGTTGTGAGTGAATGGATAAATATTCTTTGATTTATACTGTATTGCAACCAGCTCATTATATTTGAGCAAGAATTCCACTCAATGGAGCCACTGATACATTTCTTCTACAAGAAACAAGTCATAGGGACAATGAACATATAAATAGTTTGATTTACTAATTAATCCTTGGAATGCAGAATCTGAAAATGGGTATGATAATAATCATAACAAGGGATTGGGGTCAAACTACGTCAAGGTCAAATGACATTCAAAAACAGATCATAAGAATTGACACGAGAACATGTAAACATTTCTGTGACTGCCCAGAGATATACTTGAGAGGAAATACATTTCTGTCCCTGGTGTGAGCAAGTTATTAAGTGGGTAACTCAAGATTACTACAGTCTGCCAAACAAAAGTTAATATTACGCTGCATCCAGTAATATTCCAGCTATGTGGAGGCATTCTCTAAATAATTGAATGTGGACCAGACAATCCAGTGATCACAGCATAAGCATTAAGCCACGCAATTGGGATACAATGAAATGTGTCAACCAAGTCAACGAGCCTGACTCCCCGATCCCGTTAGTCGCTTCTTACAACAAGCATGGGTTACAGAAGATCAGTTCTAACCTTCATGGGTTTCACCAAACAGAAGTCCAGATGTGATCAATGTTAAGTGTGAACATGTTGACTAACACTCCAGCATGCCATAATGGACTGAGGCTGGCATGGTACAATAGGCAGGACACCATGGGCAGGCCTTTAAGCACCGAGGTCACCAACTGGGAAGGATGATATACCTACAGTCATAGAGTCTCCATTATTACCGTCCTTGCAGGAAGCACAACTAACTGATCCATGAAGAAGGATTGAAATGATGGAAGGTTGGGGTGGGTGGGGGTGAGGAACCTACAAGACATTAGTCAACAGAGCATCCAGCATTATTCAGTGATAGATATATATATTTTTTTCCTAACACACACATACACACCCATTAAATGCTCTGAAATTGACTACTAGGACTACCAAGAATGGTAATGTAATCCCTTAGCGATAGGTAAAGAAGCAAGAGAAGAAATAGTCTGACTGTAAGTATCAGATGCAGATTGTCTCCACTTCTGCCTGACAAGCAAACACAAAATTCTGATTACATAGACCAGGCAAGTATTACTATTCAGATCATGTAGGACACAAAACCGCCAAGTACATCTTTAGCATATCTGAGATATACAACAAACAAACCATTAGTATATCTAAACTACTGTATCTTCTAATGACTTGAACAAGGGATTTGTCCATATAAGTTACAGAGGTCAAGGCCCAAGCAGAGATCATCCTATTAACTGTCCCATACAGTTTCACATCTACATAAGGAAGACATTATGCTAGGTGGACGAACACACTCACCCTTCTGCATAGGGGTCTCTATAAAGTTAAACGCAAAAAAATATATATTTAGTTCACATTTCAGAAATGAATTATAAGATCAAGAAATCTGCTCCTGATACTACACTGGGAGAAGAATAGAGAAGAATGGGGACAATTTTTATGGATATACAACTTCTTTATTCTATATAGGCTATGTTTTGACCCTACAAATTATCCTCATTCATCATTTCAACTTCTAGAATGCCAATCAAGGAAACTATACTGAGAGGTGACACTTGCTACCAGGCAGATCATGCACACATCTACAAGCTGTGACAGATAACTCAATGAATCAGGATTAGTGCCAGTAATAATGATATTGCAATATATTCAGCTGGAGTTAGTTACGTATTAATATAGAATATAATATGTTAGATAGTTTTAGCAACATGAATTCATCTTATAATAACATGTGGGAGTCCATGTTCCTAATATTACCAGGAAATGTTCCAAGTAAGGCCCACTTTCTTGTTGAAATGTAGATTTCCTACTATACATCACAGAGACTGAATGGGTAAACGCTAAGGATAAAACTATGACATATTGCTGGAACTTTACTGAATGCGGTGAGATGAAACAGGGATCAATGTTTGGTTAATGTTGAGATTATCACACTCACACAGCGGCATGCATCTACATGGAGAGTGGCTGCTTCTACCAGTCAGACCTAAACCCAGTCTTATTGTGCCAACCGAATATGACACCATGGTGCAGTGGGACATAGGTACCACCCTCAGACCTAAACCCAGTCTTATTGTGCTAGCCCACTGAGACAACATTGCGCAGTAGGACATAGGTACCGCCCTCAGACCTTAACCCAGTCTCATTGTGCTAGCCCCGAGACACCATGGTGCAGTAGGACATAGGTACCGCCCTCAGACCTAAACACAGTCTTATTGTGCTAGCCCACTGAGACACCATGGTGCAGTGGGACATAGGTACCGCCCTCAGACCTAAACCCAGTCTCATTGTGCTAGCCCACTGAGACACCATGGTGCAGTGGGACATAGGTACCGCCCTCAGACCTAAACCCAGTCTTATTGTGCTAGCCCCCTGAGACACCATGGTGCAGTAGGACATAGGTACCGCCCTCAGACCTAAACCCAGTCTTATTGTGCTAGCCCACTGAGACACCATGGTGCAGTGGGACATAGGTACCGCCCTCAGACCTAAACCCAGTCTTATTGTGCTAGCCCACTGAGACACCATGGTGCAGTACCCCGCTCAGACAAAGAAAATTGACTTAAAGGAGTCCGTTTTCGTTTCATCTTCTTTAAGGCAAGCATCATCATTAAACATCTTTTGTAATGATGCAGCCGTCAAACAAATCACTGTCCTTCTGCTCTCAGAACACCCTCCATTCACTAAGACCACATTAAACATCTTTTTGATAATGATGCAGCCATCGTCAAACAAATGCTCACTGTCACTTGTATCTCCTTAATTGGCTTTCTCCCTCTCAATGTAAAAATCACTCAATTAGTACTCACTCACGAGTTGCCTCCCTTTGCCTTCGCTGAACACTCTCTTCCACTTCCTGACAGCCCAACACTTGACACCACACATTCTCATGCTTCATCTTCTTATCCATAGGATATGGTGGTACAGAGAATAATGTAATCGCTTGAGAAATCTTCGCCTCTTGTTTTGGAACGCTGAAAATAGACTTTGAGAGCTCTTGACTGGGCATAGAGATAAGTCCAGTGCATCCTGAGATCATGCCATTTGAGACCCCATCTTAATCCCAGGTTTGTGTTTTGGATTTCACCTGTATCCTCCCTCAATGTTACATCCTACGCTGGCTATACAGGAAAAAGCCGCTTCGTGAGTTATCAGTGAATGTTGGAAATATCCGGATTAAACCGGAAAGCACGAGTTTAATCTCATAGTTACGAACTAAGCTGCAAGATCACAATGTCGAAAAATGTTTATTCTCGGAAGGGTAAATACAAATAATCTGCCACTTGACTGCTGACCAAATTTGTCGCATAAGTTACCCCGCAGCAAGCGCGGACTGCATCATCCCTCTTGTTTAAACACATTTTAATACAGATACGGAAGTAGTTGTATTTTGTGGTAGCCTTTGTTGGTTGACACATGCCTTTTCCAGCAGGGCTTTCACCAAAGTGCGAGCAGGCTCTGTGTTTGTCTGATTTTCTGTAACAAGGTGTGGCGGCGGAAACGCCAGACGCATTGCAGATATGCTAAGAGTCTCGCTGCTCCATGCCAGGGTCATCCGGACTGGATGACACGTAAATGTTGGTAGCTGATTGTTGGTATTGATTGTGGCTAATAGGATCTATTAGCGGAGCTCCTCGGCCTGGTTTGATAATCTTCGGTGCAAAGATTTCTGTGTTGGAGCATCCATTCTGGTGACGGGTTGATGTGGCTTTAAGGCAAGCATCATCATTAAACATCTTTTGTAATGATGCAGCCGTCAAACAAATCACTGTCCTTCTGCTCTCAGAACACTCTCCATTCACTACACCACACAGGTGTTTTTTATCAAATAGTACAGTCATCCCTCACCATAACGCGGGTTTGGGGTCAATGGATGACCCTCCTGCTATGCATAACATTGAATAAAGACGAAGTAGTATCATATTTTTATCACAAAAATGTACGGGTCTTGGGGTCCACAATCAGATTGTGACCGCAGAGAATAATGTTAAATTGGTGCAGTCCCATTTCATGCCATTTGAGACCTGTTTTCACCAATGTTATTATACACAGTTATCAGTGAATGAAACCGGATTAAATTTAATCCAGTCAAATGAAATGACTGCTGACCATAAGTCCCTCATCTGCGAAGATAGTTGTATTTTGTGTTTTCGGACATGCCTTTTCGTGCGTTAACAAGGTGTGTTGCATCACATTGTAAATACCTGGCTGATGGCATGTCTTAATGATGAAGTTGTCTTTCATGCCCCTCTGTGTGCTCTAACTAGGTGTGTTGCATCACATTGTAAATACCTGGCTGATGGCATGTCTTAATGAAGAAGTTGTCTTTTCATGTCCCTCTGTGTGCTCTAACAAGGTGTGTTGCATCACATTGTAAATACCTGGCTGATGGCATGTCTTAATGATGAAGTTGTCTTTCATGCCCCTCTGTGTGCTCTAACAAGGTGTGTTGCATCACATTGTAAATACCTGGCTGATGGCATGTCTTAATGATGAAGTTGTCTTTTCATGTCCCTCTGTGTGCTCTAACAAGGTGTGTTGCATCACATTGTAAATACCTGGCTGATGGCATGTCTTAATGATGAAGTTGTCTTTCATGACCCTCTGTGTGCTCTAACAAGGTGTGTTGCATCACATTGTAAATACCTGGCTGATGGCATGTCTTAATGATGAAGTTGTCTTTTCATGTCCCTCTGTTTGTGAGACTTATCCAGAAAACACTGAATTGTTATTAAGAGTTTGAAAACCAAAAATCCACACTGAATTTATGATTAACTTGAATGGTTCTGTTGATAAACTGTTTCCGATGCCATGAAGATGGGTGATTGTTTTATGGGAGAAACTGATTACCCTCTGGTTTAACCAAGGCCACAGTATCACAAAGGGCGTTATTGTGAGGGATGACTGTATTTGAGATAGATAAGATCCGCATGTGATCTCTCCTGCTATTTCTGCATACTTACATGAGATTCTTCACCAGACGGTTTGCAGAAACAATCTCCCCAAGACTACACTCAAATCTTCCCAGAAAGTCCTGTCAACAACAGATGTAAACTGAACTCAGTGCACCAAATTATTTTACTTCTTCTCATTCAGTTAAACACTAGCTTTAGAACTATAAGTCTCCTGCAATTATAACTTAATGGCCGTGTACGGAAGAACCGAACAGCAGATCCTGGCATGGCAAACCAGCGACAGAGCCTACTGTGCCACCCTTCACCAAACATGTGATATGGAGAAAATGATAACACAGAAAGTTACACTGTGATAGGAATAGCAGGTGTACATACGTGCTTCTTGAGGTCTGCACTGGCGGAGTCCACATCATAGCTGAAGAAAACACAAACACGATATAACCGTACTGTACCTTCATCACCATCAGTGTTTCAACATGTTAAATGAGACTCCAATCAAATGCCGTAAATTTATAATAAAATAGAACAGCATTTTTTGCAATAAATTGAGATCACATATGGTGAAAATCCAAAAAATCTGACAAGACGCAATTCATCTTATGGGAAAAAACATACTCCGATATATATATTTTTTTTCAACAATTTTATTACATGGAGCATATTCGGTTTCTCAATTTCATCATTCTATTTTCACTTTTCAAAAATCTTCAATAAAGTAAGGACTTTCTGTAAAATACACCACCTTTTGCTTTGGTAAACCTGTACCACCTAGACACCAATTTTCCCGAAGCTACTCACATTTCAAACTTGAGTTTCTGGGCCTGCTCGAAGTAATACTGCATAACAAACTTGTGGACGAAGTCTGGGTTCAGGTTATTCCAAACAATTTCTGTTCGTCCAGACTGAAACATAATCATGTTTATGATAAAAAAAGGATGATGATACACAATTGGTATATTTGTAATGGACATTCTTTGTGAGTTTTGTAACCATGAACCCAGAGCGTTAAGCTCAAAAAGCTTCTGACTACATCACACAAAAAGAGAATACTACACGAGGTCTCATTACATACAAATTATACGAAACGAGTGTCCTTCCGCTCAGTCAGATACCACAGGAAGGTCACAAGTTTCGTATAATTCGTGTGTGATGAGACCGAGTGTGGTATTTTATTTATTACCCACGTCTTAGATGCATTAAATTGACAAAACAGCATATTTTTGTTATTTTTATGGTTTCAAAGCGAAACCGGTTTCATAAAGAGGTTGCGGAAGAATTTTGTACTGTAGTACACTTTTTGCATGACGTCACACTGTATTGACGTCACTACGCCATTCTCGTCTGTGCCCTTGGTAACCGACGTCATGATGCATGTCAGTTGTCATCACCTCGTACAGCCTGTACAGTACACTACTCCATAGCACCCCGTTTCTTGGTTTGCAGTTGCTTCACTCGGCCAACATCACTAGTGGAAACATTGCGTTTATGTTTTTCGATGGATATAATGTCTCAGTTCGACCCACAATTAAACAGCGACACGGCAACCTTTCGCACTGTTTACATTCCCACAATGCATTTAAGTTGTAGAATGAATGAATTCACGTGTTTGTTATGAATGAAAAAGTAGTTCCACCACAAAGTGACCTAATTGAGAGGTCATCAGTTATCCAATCAGATCGTTGGAATCTCAGGTCAAGTCGTAACCACACAGGTCACCGCGATACGACACTCGTGTGGCGTACGAGATTGGTATGCAACTACCCATATGTTGACCACGTGGGTAATAAAGAAGTGTACGCTCATACTCATAGAAGTTTCTAGTCATATCTAAAATGTTATGACAAATAACACATTATTTATGTTTGTTATTTAACGTCCGAAGTAGCATTACTCCACATGCTGGTTTAATGGCAGCATGTTAGTCTGAACCATCGAGCTGAGTGATACAATGTATACCATACTGTGTATAGACTGACAATACCACCAGTAGCACTATACACTCGGGATGTTACAATTCACTTGCTTATACGCTGAACCAAAAATCATACCCTTTGAATTGAATTCTTAATTCCTGGTCATTAGAACTGAATATTGATGCCTTATTTACCAAAGCAATATATGCAAAATGGACAAAATACAGCTATCAAAGTATCAAAAATATTGTAGGTATCGGTGGATAGATACAGCCTTACTGGCTCAGACAAAAAAGTGATTGATATCACAAGCCATATGTTACAAAACAGTGTGGTGTGCTACGTCTAGAAACGCTGGACACAACTATCTCAGTGATTCACCATTTCCACATTAAGCCTTAAGATGGTCGTAGCTCTAAGATTACTCTCTGCTAATGCCCAGATTCCCAAATAGTGTACAATTAGGAGCTGATTCCAAAATAGTGTACAATTAAGAGTGAGTGAGTGAGTGAGTGAGTGAGTGAGTCTAGTTTCATGTAGCACTCAGCAATATTCCAGCTATATGGCGGCAGTCGGTAAATGATCAAGTCTGGACCAGACAATCCAATGATCAATCTACGCAATTGGGATGTGTCAACTCAGTCAGCCTGACCACCCGATCCCGTTGGTCGCCTCTGACAAGAAGCATGGGTTACTGAAGATCAATTCTAGCCGGGATCTTCACAGGTCGTACAATTAGGAAACTGTACCAAGAGCCATGTACAACAAGTGTTTGCCACTGATATGGCAATGTCCCCCGCCGCTAAAGAATGGAATATCTATATTTACTACTTTATATTTTGGGGTCACATACAAGATGCCTGAAATGACTGGAGTTTGTATAATCACCCGATGTAGACTGTCAATATAATTGAAAACATTGGGTGCAATGTTTTATGAGATATCGCGTTTAAAAAAGTTTGAAAAGTGGTCAAAGTGTTGTGATGACCTTGAAGATAAGGTCAAGGTCACCAAAATCAACTGGTGTCCCGGTAATCCCCCAATGTAGGCTGTCACTAAATGTGAAGACATTGGGTACTACAGTTCATGACATACTGCGTTAACAAGAATAGGGACGTAAGTACATACAGACGCTGCTGAATACTTGGTTAAGCTGGACAATTAAGCAGCTGACTCAGCATACAGTTAGGCAGTTGTACAAAAACAGGGTGGGAGAAGACACACTCACCTCTTTCCAGGCCTTTCTTGCATCCTGCACGAACAATACACACACTGAAACACAATGATACAGATTGTTACCAGGTACTTGGAGTAATTTATATCTTGAGATGGTTTGTGTGCCCTTGCATTTAGGAAGTCTTAGGTTTCATGGAGAAACTTACATAATGTAGATTCATGGTTGCTTGGTTGTTTTGGTTAACGCTGCACTCAGCATTATTCCACCTATATGCCAGCAGTCTGTAAATTATTCAGTCTGGACCAGACAATCCAGTGATCAACATCAGGAGTATCGATCTACATAATTGTGATACGATGACATGTGTCAACCAAGTCCGATCCCATTAGTCACCGCCTACGACAAGCATGGGTTACTGAAGACCAATTCTAGCCCGGATCTTCACGGGTAGATTCATGGTAGGAACAAACAGTGTCATATATACACAATGCAGTTGTTCTGATTGCAGATTAGGAGGGTTGCAGATGTGGAACTCCTCCAAAATCCTAACCTGCAACCAGAACTGACATCAACAGAAGCTCCAAGAAGCCACAGAAATAATGAGTGAGTGCGTTTAGTTTTACGCTGCTCTCAGCAATATTCCAGCTATATGGCGGCTGTCTGTATATAATCGAGTCTGGACCAGATAATCCAGTGAAACACCAGACATGAACCATGACCAAGACATTCATTTGTTAAGTGCTTGGTGTGGTTTTCCTATGTTGTCTTATTGATCCCTTGACTGTCCCCTATCAGTACCATCTATCTATCAACACCCCTGGCCTCTACCAACTACCTGGCTTCTACCAATTACACAGCCTCTCAGTTATGGCACCCCCTTACTGTTATAAATAACTGCAGTTGCCTGAAGTTATTATCCTTTGTTATGCTGTCATGAACATTGCTCACGGAGTGTTTATATATGTTTATATCCACTCTGTATCACTCACCTGAGGAATGAGTAAGATGTAACTCTGAAACTTTGTGTTTAACAAATGAAGAATGTGATACCCAAAATCTTTGAGTCAGGTTCATCACTTCTAAGTGATTTTGTATTGTAATCTAACATAAAAATTGTCTTTGATAAAATTGAACCACATGATCCAAGGCAGCCAATCAAATTACAACAATGGACACTGTAAGATATTGTGGTAGTTTAGGATATTTGGGGTAAAGTTTGAGTTCTATTTGAGGTTGGGTTAATATAACATGGGTTATTAGTGTGTTCTCGGCTATGCTGGTATGCATAGCCACAACACACCCGGCATGTTGTGCCTGGCATGTGCAGCACATGCACTGCCTGCCTCTAGTCCTATAAAGGGAGTAGCTTCACAGCACTCCTTGTCTTTAGTCCACTGGTTCACCGGAGGTGAGGACATTTATTTCAGTTGCTTGAGTCCTGGTAATCCAGACCAAGTAGATAGGCTTTTTGGTTACATAGGAAATTAATATACTCTCCCAAAAAAGAAACACATATAGGAATTTCAACTGTATTTTTATGTTTATTTTGAAACATCTTGTAGGCTTTATGAGTCAATGAAATATAGCGAAATTGTACACTGGAAATGCAGACTTATCTGTCTTTGGCACCAACTCGAGGAAAGTCAGTTTGAGTAGCACATGGAGACGTGTGGTGGCGCTGAAGTCAATACCTTGTGTGACCACCGTGGGCATCTAGAACTGCACGGCATCGCCTCGGCATCGAACGAATAAGTCTCAGAAGTATCTGGGGCTGAGGTTACGGCGTCGCACCCGTCTGTCCAGGGCATCCCACAGATGTCCGATCGGGTTTAAGTCCGATGATCTTGAGGGCCAGGGGAGTACATTGATGTTGTGGTTCTGGAGGAAGTCTCACGTGTGACGTGCTGTGTGGGGCCTGGCATTGTGCTGTTGAAACAACTCCCACTGGCGATCAATGATTGGAAGGAGGTGTGGGCGTAGGATTTTGTCAAAGTGCCGTTGAGCTGTCAGGTTGCCCTGGATCATCACCAAATCACTTCTCCTACGGCAGGTGATCGCTCCCCACATCATAACCCTTCCCCGGCCGAATCTGTCCACCTGGGGAACGCAAGCGTCGGCAAAACGTTCACGTCAACGTCTGTACACCCACATTCTTCCATCACATCGTTCCAATAGAAATCGTGATTCATCACTGAACCAGATTCTACGCCAATTCGGTAGGTTCCAGGCCTGAACGTTGGTGCAGCATTGAACACGATGTCGACGATGTTGTTGTCGGAGCACAGGGCCAAAATAAGGTCTTCTGGCACGTAAACCAGCCTCTCTCAACCTGTTCCTGACGGTCTGCGCAGAAAGCCTCCTCAATCCGGTATTTGTCGAAAGGGTACTGGTCGCCGTAGCTGTTCGATGACGCAGGTGATGTACCCGGATGTAGCGATCCTGCGCCGCAGTGGTCGCCGAGGTCGCCCACTCACGAGGGGCATCTGCTACTGCATTCTGCCGGCGATATCTCTCCCAGAGCCGTGAAATGGTGCTTTGGTGAACATTCATGCGTCGGGGCAACTGCACGTTGAGACTGGCCAGCTTCAAGCAAACCAATGGCGATATGACGGTTGGCTTCACTTAGACGTGGCATTTTGCGTTCATCAACAATATTCCAAATACAGTGAATAATCGACAGACAGTGATCAACCTTTTATACCCATCATTGAGACTATCTGATCCCCAACTTTCACGTGCATTGCGTGTGAATTGTGTATTCTGTGACACAACACGCCAAAATTGAAAATCATGCTGTTAAATATGGGTATTTTTTACGGATGGTGCGTTTTGTTGTGATGTTTCAAAACATAAACACCATTGGACTCATAAACAGAGCAAAACCTTTTGTAAAATGAATCACGTTTTCATTCATTGCTACATGAAATTGCTATTTTCATGATGCGTTACTTTTTTGGGAGAGTATATAATTATTTGTTTTGGACATAGGCTCTGAAATCAGAGCCATGTCTTATTAGGGTTTGGGGTTAGGTTAGATTGTTAGGTATAGATTAGGTTCGGATAGGTTTAGGTTTTTGTAAATAAATTATTGAGTTTCTCTTTTCTATTTGTTATGTTTTTACCAGCAATGAGGCCTGATTCAAAGAGCCTATTTGAAGTTGGCTACTTTACCATCACCACATAAAAAAAGTACACAACGCAAGGTCCAAAACCCTATTATAGCCAACTTCAACTGTCACTGGGCAGAGAAGCCTATTACAATATATTTCACATTAAGTCCATTTGGAAACATGTACATGCATTATTTAATTTGCTTTAAACATCATAATATTGCTTATTGACAAGTTTGATATAAATGCTTTGTCAAAATGTATGTCCTAGAACAAAATGACACTGTGGGAAAGTTAACAATTTTAAATCAGTTAAACATGATAAATTAAAATGAAATGCATATTTTCAGACAATGAATGAATGATTTGACAGTTAATGAAACTATATATGTTTTTAACGTGGCTACAGCAGTGGACAGCAGTGTTTGGAGACCTTTGATGCCTTGACCACTGTACCTGCCAAGAGTGCAACTATCGGGTAGGAATTCAAGGGCACTTTTTAGTGACACAACACTTGGGTTCATTTGTGCCGAAGTCAAAGAATATAACTGTATAATATATCAGAATATGCCATAAAACATTTATATTGTCATACCCGTAACCACATAAACTCTCTAGATGTAAGATAATCATGACTGAGTCAGAGCCAGAAATGACATTTTCAATATGGCTGCTACATTCTCTGAGATGTGAACATGAAATGATTAACGACAAATGAACCAATAAATGAACTGATGGACTCGGTGCCACAACATATGCTCACTTGACTTTCAGTGTGGTCATTTAAAAATGACCTCCAAATATGTTATTGTTAACTTTTCACGTCACAGACAGAATGACATGAGATGACCAAAACCTGTCAATGTCACCTCCACCAAACACAAATGTGGTTGCATTAGCATATTGATAAACAATATATAGTCATTACACGCTCTATATTACACAAACAGGTCACAACATTTGACATGAGCAATGCAGGCTGGCTTGTCAAGTGAAGGACACAGTGTACAGGGACTGCAGCAGCGTTGACAGGAGCTGGGTCACAGTGACCTGGCACACTGACTGAAATGACAAAACATGTTAGGGAGTGCGTGCTTCACCCATCCTCCACCTCTAGCCAGGCCAACTCCCCACCTGACAGTTTATTGATAGTAACAATATTTCTTACACTGTCATTATTTCCCCACTGGACAATTATCAGAAGTGTTTGCCTGGTGGGGCCAGTGGGCATCTTAGTGGTTCAACATCTGCTTGTCACACTCATGGTGAGCTGAGGGGAGATGGGAATTGATGTCATGTTCAAGATTGTTGCACTTGGCTATGTGTTCGCATGTGTGCTTGTACTAGTCCAGATTAGTGTCAGTTTACAGTGCTCGGCCACTGAAATACCATGACAAAGCATAACTTGCATCCACAACTCAGTGACTCTCAGCCAACCAGGTATTATTCCAAGAACCAGGCAGGGTAACAAACCATTTTAATGTGTCAAGTATGACATGCCTGGGGATGGAACCACCAACCATCCTTCCTTCCAACAGGTGCTCTATCCATTACACTAAAGCAGGGATAGAAATACATTTTTTTTAAAGTGTGCCTTAGGGCACCAGGCAAAGATTTTAAGTGTGCCTTTCAGAAATCAAGTGTGCCCACATCTTTTTCAAAATAAATGACTGTAGCAATGATGATGATAATTTGAAGAATTTTGTGACAGGTTCACTTGTTCAATATATCAATCATACACAATTACCTCCTCAATACTCGAACTATCAGTACTCCCATCACTCTAAATGGAAAAACAACCACATTTTTTTATATCATCCATCATAATTCCACTGATTTCCTGGGCGATAAAGTCAATAAATGTTTTTGCCTGTTTGTCATTGGGTAAGTGTTTGGTTTTGGGGATTAAATGACTAGAGGTGAGTTATGTCTCTAAAACTTAAGGCATACCTTAAGGGCACCAAGAACCTTTTTTATCCATGCCATTTCAATATTTACTGTGCCATGGCATGCTAATATATGCGGTATTTCGAACCCTGTAAAGGGTGAAGGCCTTATTTCAATTTTGTCCATGGGTCCAATATGTGAAGCCTGGTGTCCCAGCCATGGCTGGATTACTACTGTGTGACAATGTGCAAACCAGTGGTTGAAGGCATGAGCTTTGGGCATGATTAGTTACAGATGAACGACTGACTCTCAACAGAAAGACACTAATATTGACCCTAACTTGGCACTTTGGCAAATCCTATCAGCAAGACCAAGATGCTGACAAACCTATAAACATTATCGAGGCAAACCTGGATTTGAACCCATGATCAAAGGTTTCAGGCATGCCTGATGAATGCAGCTCCACCCACTAATGACCCTTTCTGAGCTAAGATGAGGTATGAATCACAAATGTTGCTTTTGTACCCTTTTTTTACCATGTTTATGATTGCAAACAATACTGTTTGTTGTTTAACGCCGCACTCAGCAATATTCCAGCTATATGGCGGCAGTCTGTAAATAATTGAATCTGGACCAGACAATCCAAGGATTAACAGAATGAGCATCGATCTACGCAATTGGGATACGATGACATGTAGTCAACCAAATCAGCGAGCCTGACCGCCCGATTCCGTTGGTCACCTCTTACAACAAGCATGGGTTGCTGAAGACCAATACTAACCAGGATCTTCACGGGTCGCAGACAATACTTAATCACAGATGTATTCATTAACAGAATTGAAACACACAATTCAAAAGCCAATATCCGTCAAAGTTTAAGATCAACTGATGCAGAATCAGACACTGATTCAAATTCCATCATTGTCAGAACAGTATTGCATCACATAATCCAAAATCAAATGACAATAAACACATGATTAAAAACCCCAACTTTTTGCAGAAACCTACAGTCCATTTGAGTCAGAAACGGACCGATGAATTGCAAATTTTATCATTGTACAAAACTGCTACATAAATATAAATAGTACACAGTTTATCATTTACTAATACCCAACAGCTTTCTTATATCTGAAAATATGCCTCACTCACTCACTCAAACAAGTTCATGTTAGATCTTTTACATGTGAAGGTAGGAAATGTGTTTATTATAACAATTTGGTTTAGACGAAAATAGCTGATTATTCAGTTTAGGATACACAATGCCATTCAGAAAGTGGTCAAATGTAACACGTGATATTTGGGAATACACTTTCTTAGAAAGTTAACAAGAAAGTGTAATCCCAAATATCACATATGTTACATCTGACCACTTTCTAAATAGCATTGTGCAATCATAGCTTCGGACGTGGGAGCCGTGCCAATCTACACTTATCTGAGGGGTAGACAAAGTCCGCAGTGTAGACTACCAGTTGTTCGACTTCCATTTTTGTGGAAGTTGTGGTGGCTGAGCAGGTAAGGCGGCTGACTTTGTGTGCTGGCGATTACATGCCTGACCCTGAAGGTGTGGGTTTGAATCTCGGATGGACTCAATCCAACAAAGTACTAGAATCTGTACTTTACTAAGAAAGTGTAATCCCAAATGTAACATATGTTACACAAAGTTTAGACAGTACACTTTTCAAATGAAACGAAATGCACCCTTGTACCAAGTTGTCCTTAATCCACATCAACAGTTCTGGTCGAGGTTGACAGTTCCTGACAGTTTTAGATTCAATCACACAACAACAAGAAGGGTGATTTATTTGTTATAGATCATTGTACAGTGTTTGGTTATTGTGTGGCCAAACATAACTATTTACTAGAGGTGCAACAGATTCACTGTGCGGCGACCATGATACATATCACAAATATTTGGTAAAGAATACAAATATTAGGCAGGGCTCGAGTTGGTGCTTTGCTACTTGCACTGGTGCAACCCAACATGACAAAGTGCAACCTAGTTATCAGTCTAACTTGCCCCAGGTGCAAGTCAATTTTTTAGTAGGTATACCTCTGAAAAATTGCATGTACACACCAGTATTGCATTAAAAGCAGTGCAACTGGATTTTGGCTGGTGTAATTAGGTTTTTATCTTTGGTTGCACCTGGTGCAAGTAGGTTAACATCTCTTAAATCGAGCCCTGTTAGGTAACAGATATATTAACAAACCAGCAGTGAATGTATTATTCAATATATTCTGTGAAATACTTACAAAATATGTATTTGACATGTTTTGTCCATGTTCACAAGATTAATTTAGCATGACAAATGACCAGTGAAAACATTACTGTCAAATTAAATATAGAAGAGTTGGCTATTATCCTGCCTGGTCTGGATATAATCCATTTTGCATATTTCATTCGGATAAGTAACACCCAATAATATCAAGTAAAAAGACTCATTTTTAAAAAGGTTCATGAATGTTGGCTTCTGGTGCTCATGAATAACAAACTGAATTCACAAAGTGATATGGTTCAATTTACCAAATACAAAAGTGAATCAATACAGCCCTACTATTCACCGTTCTGCTTATTTGTGAGTACTTAATACAGAACTAACAGGAAAACTTCCTTAATCTCCTGGTAATTTAGAGAGGGGGTAAACTGTGAGTGTTGACAATGGCTACCGGATTGCCTCTTCTCGATGACAAACAATGACATGATTTGTAAGAAATGACCACACAGGATGGAATTGGCTTAAAGTATAATAAACAGAACTCAGAATTACAGATTTAACAAAATCCATAATTATGAGTACCTCGTAAGCTATTCTGTAAATAACGTTAATTATCTGCTGCACTTACTTGGATCTGACTTTGAAAATACATCAGCATCTATGAGTTTCCTGAAAGGAAAATTAAGCATGATTAGGTATTTGTTCATACAAAATATGGATTCAAATAAGCGCCAAAAACATTCTCAACATGTCCACAAACAGACAAAAAGACCCATGAGACTCTGTAGCTCATAACAATTTTACCTGTTATTGACATTGTTTTAGGTGACAACTTCACAGATTCAAGTTGATAATAACAGTGTTGATCATGTCTAGTTTGATGTCATAACAAGTTCCACGGCTGTGAGTAAATAGAAGGGAACATCAGGGAACTGTTTGTGGGAAGGGACTCGGAGCATATCTGGAAGTGTTCGATCTGAAAAATGGTGCAGCATCATCTTTTCTTAAATTCTCAATGTTGTAGCCACAAAAGCAGTATCCACTGAAGTATTGTGAAACCACTCAATCTGATCATCTGTCATCAGCTCATCGCTGTAGACATGATTAAACTGATCATTTAAAGTTGCATCCACACAAGTATTGTGAAACTCTCAGGGACATTGGTTACACCTAATCTGATCCTCTTTCACCTCAAACAAGGTGTGCACAATAGGCAGTGGTATGCAGAGGCCATTTCACAGCACAAGCAACTTGAGACTTGTCATTGGTAGTAATATTGTATAAGAGGAAAACTTTTAAACGTCATAGGGACAAAACCTTTTCCCTTTCAGGAGACAACAGGAAGCCAGCATTGTTGACGGCATGGATCCGGGATCACAAAGTAGATCTAATTGTTTGAATAATCAGATCAATTAGATTTTCCTGAAAAATTACTGTTTGAAGAAATCTCCTACACGCGCACATGCACACCTCCAATAAGAGTTATTTACGTGTATGGAGATTTCAATATTACAATATTAGCTGCAAGTCTGAATATGCTATTTAGTAGATGGATAATAAGGTTATTCCAGCATTTGTTTTGAAGCTGTTGTTTCAGAGTTAAAAGTTTTAGAGAATTTGAAAAAAGAACTCTATCAGTCTCACTCAGTCCCGATATCATATTTCCTAAATATTGTCACTCGTTATAGTTTATCATTCCAGATACATCTGCACAATATTTTGTTTAATTCATCAATAAAATCACTTTGAGGATTTCGAAGAGAATAAAATGTATGCAACAAGTTGACATGACCAGTAATTAAAAACTGAAACTTTTTTCCAGGCAAAGTTCGACTGTGCATTAAATTTTCACATAAAGGCATGTCACAGAGGTTTTCTGTTTTCAGTATTTTCATGTTGGGACTCATACAAATCCTTAATTTCTAACATTACAATTATGACAAGAACCCTTAACTATTAGCACTCTTAGTGTCTTAGTAGCTTATTCAACAAATAGCAGCTATAGTCATTATTTAGAAAAATCATAGTTAGCTTGAAATCAGAAATAACTTTAAATACTTTATAGAATGTGATCACCAGAATCATTTTAAATGTTTAGAATTTGGTCATTAAAGGGGAAACAAAACCCCAACTTTAAAATATGCATTGATTCTTTTTCACAGAATACAAATTTGCTTTATACAATATTTTGGACAGGTTTAATTTGTGTTCTCGTTGTGCTTCGCAAAGTGACACCTATCGCAGGATATAAGAATGAGAAGCTGTCTCTGAAACAAAGGACATACAATAAGGAGGTACAGCCAAACTGACAAATGTTTTTTGTTTTGGATAAATGGATACAAGGCTTATAGCATGAGGTTTTCAGTGAACCTCATTATTACACACAGTAAAAACTGCACAGTATCCCTTCAGAGATTTCAGGTAAAAGAACAGGTAATGACAAACTTCATCAATAAAATGTGAAATCTGAGATATCTTATAACTAGACATGATAATTTTACCTTTAATATTTGTATTGGCAGTTCTGGAAGGCACAGTATTATACGAATAATTGCATGCTATTGCTGGATAAGTTTTATTTATGGAACAGTTTGATCAAGAATAGTGCTGAACACAAGTAAAACCTGTTGAAAATATAGTCCATGATAAGCACATTTGTATTCCATGACGAAACAACCGATCCATATTTCGATGCTTTCTTAGTTGGGAGGAGTTTTTTTTACTTAAACTGTCAGGTTTTCTTGAAAAAGTTAAAATTTGTTGGTTTCACATTACTTTTCAACTCACTGTGCGCATGCACAGAGCGTGTGAAAAATATCCACTGCATGTTTCCGGTTTGGTCGTATGCTTATCGATCGTGTAAATGCACTCTAAATAAAAGCTGTTATGAAAATGATTTACGTTGTGACAACTGTTCATAGCTGAGTACATACTTCCATTTGCCTCTGCTTTTCAATAATTGATGTCCTATTTTGGTTGCAATTCCATCAGAGATGTGTTTGTTTAGTTGTGAGAAGGGGATGTGCGGGGAAGGACCGTGGTGGTGAGATGTCTTTATACAAGAGCTTGTTGACATACATGAAGCTATTTATTTAACTAATCCCGGACTCTGTTTCATAAATCAAAATGGGATCAGTTATATTCGACATAAAACTATATATGTTTTTGAATTTTGTTTTCTTTGGAGTGTTTACACTATCGATAAACATACGACCAAACCGGAAACATGCCAGTGGATATTTTTCGCACGCGATGCGCATGCGCGCACAGCGGGTTGAAAAGTAATGTGAAACCAACGAATGTAGAGAACTGGTTCTTTACACCCATAGCTATTGGTATGGAATGTGTTTCTGTTCAATGAGTAATGGTTAGAGACATGTTTCATTCTTCAAGGTCTTCAAGTGTACCAAACCATTCCACTAACATCAACATTGGTGTTTCAGATAGAAACAGAGTACAGTACAGTACACACACAAACTTCTGACAAAAGTGTTGATTTTAGGTCCCTAACATGTTGAAGTCGGACATAACCACATGCTGACCTCGAATTCTGAAGTTATGAAAAGGGTGAAACAGATGTGCTGTCGTCCCTTATTGTAGGTAGTTTATGGTTGTTGGTTCATTTTTCTTGTTGGTAATGCTTACTCCTTGGCACACAATATACGCTATTGCATCACAACGACGAAAGAATCCGCTTGAAGCGGGTTTCGAAACAATAACACGGAAGTGCATTGCGAAATTAGGTGACGTGCTCACTGAAGATGTCAAGTGGAAATTTTTCTTGTATGTCTGACATTAGCAACCATGATGGAAACTTCTGAAACTACGACTTAAAAGAAATAGAATTAAAACGAGATGTGACTGGCAAATCCCGAGCTTTCAATGGCACATAACTCGGTATTAAACAAGATATCAACTTCGAAGGCCCCCATGTCAATAATTTTGTAAACAAGTTCTCAAGCAGACGAATTTTCTGACTTTCGCTTGTCATACGTGAATAGCAGGTGAATGTCTTGCATTAGTATCCTCGTTTTACCGACTAGGTGTGAAACAGAACATACTTACCGACACGACACTGATAATTCCACAAGGGTAGCTGGTACAGCACCAGTACCAGGTTGAAATGTTGCCGCCTCCGCCATGTTTCACGTTGTCTGACGGGATTGCTGTAATAGCACTGTGTCACGTGATCAAGCAGCATTTCTCGGACCCGGACATTTGTTGAGACTAGTTTCGACACAACTATCCACAAATCATTGTGTGGTGAGGTGAAATTGGGTTTAACGTCGTGCTCATATTTCGCTCACATGACGACGTGCATGCGTGTGTATGTGTATGTGCGGGTGCTTGTACTAGCCCAGACTGAAGCTGGTTTTATAGTGCTAGCCCACTGAGATACCATTCCGCAGTGAAACATGAATACCCCACTCAAACACATTATACTGACTCCGAGCCGACCAGTCCTTGTTGAACCCAGTAATGCCGAGCGCCAGGCTATTACAAGTACCATAATTTAACGTCTTTTTGGTATGACGCGGTCGGGGATCGAACCCGCGACCTTCCGCTCTTCAGGCGGACGCTCTAACCACTACACCACGGAGGCGGTTACAAAGCATTGTAGTTGTAAGCTGGATGACTTTCTTTTCGATAAACAGCGAATGTAGAGCAATGCCTTATGTGAATATATTCTCCCTGCCCGTCCGAGTCAAAAGTAATATAAACACAAACCGTCATCGAATGCAAATCTCTCTCTAACATATTTATACAATAAAATTAATTGGTGCTCATCACGAAAAGGAAATGACCTTGATGTTACACCCATTGCAGTCTTAAATTTATGACTTTTTATAGTCCAATGGAATATATTTTATATATAAAATGTTTTACGCAATGATCAGTCTCCTGTTTATATCGTGGCCGTGTTAAAATAAGCAAATCTGGAATCTCTCCTCGAACTGTATAACACAATCTATCTTGGCAACTAAAGGAAGAACCATGCAGGATCATAGAGTGTACACTTGCTGTTAAGGTCTTATTTACCATCACGATGCTCGCAATATCAACCACTCGCCTGGACCTCATCATAATACAAAAGGAATAGTGCAACAAGATTGTTTAAGAACAGTATGTTATCGGAGAGAGACAATGTGATGGTGCGGAAGGATGCTGAAGATAACAATGTGATGTGATCATTGAGCATAAGACCGCCTCCGTGGTGTAGTAGTTAGAGCGTCCGCCCGGAGAACGGAAGGTCGCGGGTTCGGTCCCCGACCGCGTCATACCAAAAGACGTTAAAATATGGTACTTGTTGGTCCCTGTCTGGCGCTCGGCATTAATGGGTACAACAAGGACTGGTCGGCTCGGAGTCAGTATACTGTGTCTGAGTGGGGTATTCATGCTTCACTGCGGCATGGTATTTCAGTGAGCTAGCACTATAAAACCAGCTTAAGTCTGGGCTAGTACAAGCAGCCGCACATACACATACACACGCTTGCACGTCGTCATATGAGCGAAATATTCTCAAGCACGACGTTAAACCCAATTTCACCTCACCTCATTGAGCATAAATGAAAATTGTTTATGATTATTATAGTGAATATATTGCTTTATAAATCAGTCTTCATAATCAGCATAACCATCAACTTATCAACAACAAGACCCGATAGATGATGAAGATGGTGCCAGTATTTAACTGTTATATTCGTCCGTCTTCCAGACCCAAGATAATAAATTAAACAGTTCTATTCAAGTCTGGAATGATTTGAAAATCTAGATTGCCTCAACTCTCAGAAACTGTATTATCACAATACAGTGCACGAGTGAGTGAGTGAGTGAGTTTCACGCCGCACTCAGCAATATTCCAGCTACATTGCGGCGGTCGGTGAATACTCGAGTCTGGACCCAGTCTAAGTAAACTTAAACTTATACTGAGCCTAAGTTTACTTAGACTGAGTCTGGACCAGACAATCCAGCCATTAACAACATGAGCATCGTTCTGCGCAACCGGGATACGATGACGTGTCAACCAAGCCAGCGAGCCTGACTGGTCACCCGATCCCTTTTGTCGCCTCCTACTACAAGCATGGGTTACTGAAGATCAATTCTAACCCGGGTCTTCACTAACCCAGGTCATGAGTGTTAATTACATGCAGGATGGCGAGCACTGACATGGTCCACAAGAGTGTTTCGTCTATTTATAAGATAAGGTGTCCAGGAAAAGGGAACCGATAGGATGTTACGGAAAGGGCGAAACACAAATACAACACCACATAATGAAAGTGGGACAACTAAGCGTTTAATGTATAAACAATTACTGTTACGGTGTGCAGCAACATATTATAGAGTGCGGCGTTAAACAATAAACAAACAACGTCAGAGGACGGTCACATTGCTTTCTGATTCCGTGAGTTTCTAAGGTGAGGGACTAGCAGCCCCCTTTCGACAGTCTTGCCGCTGTTTGCTGTCAGTGTAAGTGTACCAAAACCAGCCGATCAAAATGAAATTGTAGTAATGGTAAGGTAGATATGGTTTCGTGCCCCTCCTACGAGGTCGAATAACCCCAACTCTACAGTGATTAAAGGTTAGAATTTGCCCAAAAGCGACTGATTTCTCTGGTCAGGGTCAGTGGTTGATTGGATGTCATCTTACCCCGACATTGCTCATATCAACCTCTGGTTTCTGGCCGAGATTAAGTCAGACCGTCTCATAAAGTGGGTGTGGATTTAACAAATAATAAATAACCAATTAAGTAGTTTATATAATACAATTACATTTTCATTTCGCAACAGTTAATATGTGTGCATGAGATGTGTGTTAAGCCACATTAAGCAAGATTCTATTAGCATGTCATTTAGAGATGGGGGAAATGTTCAAAGTGCAAGGAGGCGGTAGGGTGGTTTAGACGGGTACCGTTCGCTCGTCACGCCGAAAACCCGAGTTTGATTCTCCACAATGTGTGAATCCCATTTCGGATAACCATTCCTTTTGCTGGACTATTGCACAAAAAGCAGCGTAAAATAAAAGTCGATCATGCGAAAATCAAGGCGTAATGCAGGTCGCTCTTGGGAACAACTCCAGGATGTCTGATGAAAAGATGTGTGAGTTGAGCTTCAAATCGCTCTGAACACTGTTCCAGCTGCTATTATCACGGTCTGTCACCACCATGTTGGAGTAAAGCCCGAAGTGATGGAGGCCTCGGGCGTTAATCACTTTGGTGAAACCCAGGGGTTTGTTGGTGGGTAAGACAAGTGGGCGCCTCTCAGACCTCTGTCCACCCATGTCCCCCATCTGCGTGATCCTCCCGAAAGGTTGTCAACCGTAACCATAGCAACATTGGTCAGCAAAGGTCAATGGAGAGGTTGAGATAGCAAAGTAATGGCAACAATAGTCGTCATTGCGGGTGTCGTGCCGGGAAGGCTAAAATTTATTTTTCAGATGTCCCGGGGAAGGCTAACATGTATATTTCGGATTTCCCGGGAGAGCTAATTTCCAACGGAGTAGGGGAGTACCGCCAAAGCTAAAGAAACGGTGCCGGGAAGCATAATCCATGTCGCCTGTCGGGAGTAGATTCAGATTGAGATTTGGGGGGTTAACGTTGGCTTCTGACTAAGCCAATATCGCGATTTATTTCTGAAACGTTAAAACTTTACATAAGTGGCGATTGTATTTCAGATGTATTTAATTATAAAAAAGACATTAGAATAATTGTCACTAGGCATAATCCATGAGTAGATAGATTTCTTTTCAAATCATTGTTATAACCTTCGCTTGTTTGCGGTTCGGGGTACTCTACTTTAGATAATATATTTTTTTTTTAATGGATTAATTGATCTACTTAAATCTAAGAAGAAAAAGTTATATAGTGTTTTTATAGACTTTCAAAAAGCCTTTGATAATGTCTGGCATGTGAGACTTTGGCAAAAAATGGTTAAACACGGAATTACTGGGTAAGATTAAAAGGTTATTTATAATATGTATGATAATACCAAGTGTTTCAACAGGTGGAAATGACTCTACCTATTTTGACTGTTGTAAGGCGTACGCCAGGGAGAAAATTTATCACCTCTCCTTTTTTCACTGTTTATTAATGGCGTTGTATCATATCTGGTGACGAATGCCTGTGATGGTGTAGAAATTGATGATATATTTGGATTTGTTAAGATTTTTGTACTGATGTATGCTGATGACATGGTCTCATTTGAGTCCGGATGAGTTACAGCATAGTATTAATATTGAGTAAAGTGGAAGTTAAAATTAAATATCGAAAGACTAAAGTAGTCGTATTTGGCTCTGGAGATGCAAGAGTTAATTTTCAAAAAAAATATCTTGGTGATGTACCTTTGAGCATGTCTGATACTTATACTTACCTTGGAATACATTTTCATAAGAATTTCTTTTCAAAACATATATATAATGGTATATTTAAGTTGCAGTTAAGTAGATTGACAGAAATGTGTTTTTCCATGGAAAATGATAATTTAATGTCGAATTAAAGACAATGCATAATGAAGAATAGACATGAAAATGGGTAAATAACTGTATTTATCTTTGTATGTGTGCCCAAATGAAAGAGCGTCCACGTTAATCCTGATTTATTTTGTAATTTGTCAGAGCCTCCAAGTAAGGAGCACCGTGTTCATTCAGCCATAACATTGCATTGCAAGTACCACGAAGGCTACGCTCATTGAACCGAGAAGCGTCGCGATTTTAGCCTTCCCGGCCATGAACCTCGATCATTGAGAGAACCCGGTTTCTGCAAAGTGAAAGCCATGCCATCGCTGTGTTATTGATAAAGACGGCACTATATTGGCTCTCATCAGGCGATGATCGGGCATGCTAAATAGGATATTACTCGTATATTTTAACGACAAAACGAGCCTCTGTCTGTGTAGTTACCACTTTAATGGGGTGGTTCAGCATTTTGATAACGTACTATGTATTTTATCGATTACTTCATATGAAGAACGTTGAAAACTGTGGCGTACAGCTGAACACATTTCTCGCTAACCACGACGTTGCCAGAATGGTGATTTAAGACATAAATTAGATGGCGTAATTGTTACCAACAGTTATTTCTGAAAGGAAGCATTATGGATATTTCCCGAGCAACAGACGACTATTTGTATGTTCTTGTTTGCAAGTTGTCGTATGGAAAACTGTAGCACATTAGTTAGCTGAACTATGGGATGCAATCCGGGCACCGTCACGTGACCTGCCAAGTATCTTGGCTGCGATCGACAGGCTGAGCACATGGCGGATTGTAGGTAGAATTTGTCTATTTTAGCTTCTTTATAATCGGAATTCTTGTGGACTGTCCACTTTCCTCTACTGCCATCTTATTATGTAATCCCTTGTTCACACACTGCAATACAAAATGGGCATTAAGGATTTCCAGGAATTTTTAGAATCAGAGTGTTCCAGTGCCTGTGTCTCGGTCGACTTACTAAAGATATCGAGAGGGTTCGTTCCGAAAAGGCGTGGTCCCCGTTATGGCGGCTCAGGACGATTTTGTTTAGTCGTGGATGCAGAAAGTTGTTTGGACAGATTATACGGTGGCTTCTTCTCTGATTGGGTATGTGGTGGTCAGTGGAACCGGATGACAGCATTTCTCACGAGCTTGATTCAAGCATGTCACAACGCCAACATGGAGTTAGTCGTCTTCTTCGATGGTTGTCTTGAAAGTCAGAAACTGCCCGAATGGTTGACACAACAGCTTGCACAAAAGGAGAAGGTTCGCCTGGTTTTGCGGCACATTAACAACAAAGGCACGCCCCTTCCGAAAGTATGGTGGTCGCAGCCCGTCTTCCTCAGGGGTGCTTTGAAGATGGCCCTTCGCCATCTAGGAGTCGCTGTCGCGTGTTCCATGGACGATCATCACCAAGAGGTCATAGGCTTCTGCAGAGAACACAATCTTCAGGGCATCGTTGCTCAGGAGTCAGTGTACACCATCTTCGACCCACCACGCTACTTTTCTTCAAACAACCTCAAGCTCACGTACAAGGGCTCCCTGGAGACCAAAGAATACATCATGGACGAGATAGCAAAGTGTCTCAACCTCAACCCAAACCGATTCTGCATATTTGCTGCACTGCTGGGTAAGCTAAACTATTGTCATTTGACTCATTTACCTATGTTTTCCATTGACCTTTTGTATTATGCAGTGTGCACTGTACTGTGCTGATCTGATTGTCATGCTCTGCAGATTTTTTGTCAGAACTGTCAAAGCTGTAAGTAGGAAATTGATAAATGCTCACAATCACACACTGTGAATGACACCCTGTTTGTTCCTGCAGTATCATTAATGTTTGCACTGTGCAGGGTCAGATATGGGCCCAGATATGTGTCCTGCAGATTCTTTCATTCTTCATTCCAACCTTCGAAAAGCCAAAGTGGCATGACAAGAAAAAGCAGGCGTAACTGTTATCCGCTCCAGACTTGACAGGAAGCATCTTGTTACTTGCACCTCCAAGAATATTATACTTGTACACATTCTTTTAGGGCCTTTACCTGTAAACTGTACTTGTGATCACTGAGATTCTGAAATGGACAGTGTACTTTGATTAAAGAGGCTATACTGAAACAGAATGTGTGAATGATGCCAGCTGTAGATATACATACAGATAAAACATGGATGGATGATCATGTTAGCAACTGAATTCATCAGATACCTCCTCACCTAAAGTATCTTTCAGTCAGTCCCAAACAACTCACAGAAATTATCCAAGTTGCTTAGTAGCCTGAAATATGTTTTGCTTGACTTAAATTGCCGACTGTCCCAAATGTTTTAATTTCATTGGGTTGCCAACATCCAACACTTAAAGCGCAACTCTCAAGGATACGAGGATGTCCTTGAATCAAGGTATTCCCAGAACCGATAGTGATTGGTATTATGAGCAGTGACAAGGTACAGTGGGACTTTCTCATTATGGAACCCTGATTAATTGGCATACACAGAATGCTGATTACATGGTGTGCCCATTTAGTCATTGTGTAGTTGTCCTGCTCCAGCCATTGTATGTCACACATGTCTGTGATTTAATGTGATATGGGTGATAGTGGTTTCTGAAATATTGGAAGAACTTGCTATAGATATGTGCAAGAAGCACAGAAGGAACCATGTGGAACATGACCTCTAGTCGGAAGCAAAAGTCTACTGCTTGGTCCCCTAAGCTCAACCGTTAATGGTTTATACACAGTGGCCTTTGATTCCACAGATATTATTTACAAACAGCAATAGTAGTTGCAAAAGGTTTGGTAGAAAACAAATCCAGTGTCTTTTACAGTGTTCACGAATGGTGTTTCAAAGTAACAGGACATTGGGTCCTCTAAGTTTCAGATGTCTGTCTGACCCATTGAAAATTCACAGGATCCACAGAATAAAATAAAACGCACATTGCAGATTTAACATTTCTTATAATTGGCATTGAAATTATCAACAAACATAAGATTTATAAACAGCAAACAAGTGTCACATGTCACATATAACAATTTCAGTCAAAGTCATTGTGAAATATACAGTCAGACACTGGGGCTGGCGGGTTGTTGACTTCTGTCTGACCGTTGGCGAATCTGCTTTTATGACAACCCTGTTGTTAAACAAGATTGAGGGATCCAAAAACTCGTACATCATAGATTCAAACCTCAGTGGGTACGAGGGTAGAATTGGTTTCTCCCCAGTAAACTATGCTTATCATAATTGTTTGACTTGAAGTCAACTAGATCAGTCATCCATGCTGTCAGTCCATATTGTGTAAGAATATATTGACAACAGGGAATTGTGCTCATAATATAGTTGCTGGGATTATGATCCTCTGCCTGTATGTGTGATATTTGAACTGAAAGCTTTCAAGTAACCTTTAGCAAAACTTGATCTTGCATCACCATAGGTTTCCTCACACATCATATACCACTCAAAAGATGTTAAGGATTACTCACTTATTTCATGTTACTAGAGTTATTCTGTCACATCATGAGCAGGAAGTGGTCCATAAGTTAACTTGTGATATATTTTATAATTGGAAAACTGTTCAGAGGTAACTCACTCATAGAGGCAATCTTTATTATCATCGAGTGTTGAGGATCTAATTATCAACACCATTTCAGTCGATGTCCTAATATGCAGAACATTGATGGCAGATGCGGTTAATGATAAGTGATATTGATTATTATCTTAGCCACATGTATAGTTTCCATTCTGGTGTTGGACATGCAGGACATCTGAACTATAGTGCCATTTGCGAGTATGTCAGAGACAAGCATAGTTTGTGCTTTGGAACAGAAAAATTGGAGGATCTTCACTTATTACATAAATTATGTTCAAGGCTGTGGGAGTTGGTTGGAAATTACGGCCACCAGATTTCTGGTTGTGTGTTATTATTTTATGTAATCAAGGTCATTGCTACTAATTAGGGGTGTCGCGATACGCGAATGTATCGATGCATCGATACATTGTTACTGACGATACGATACGCGATACATGCTTGCGTGTATCGATTCCTATTTTAAAACTTTATCGATTCAAATTTTTATGCTATATCCGTCTCCGTCAAAGTCTTGATAGTAAAATTATACCAGACCGCTCCGATAAATAGATGTAGCTAGCTTTACTTAAAAAATAGGCTGGAAACTAACAGCTTTTGTGATTGGCTAGACTATTTTGATGGGCCTATCAGCGAGCGCGTACGTTGCCGGTAAGGTAATGCTATGAAAAGGCGCGATAATTATGTATCGCGATACGTATCGTATCGTGACCCTAAAATCGTGATACGTATCGTATCGTGAGATTGGTGTATCGTGACACCCCTACTACTAATGTCCGTCATTGATTTGTCTGGGCCAGACTTACCAACAGACTTCTTTTACATTGCTGGCACACAACATAGAACAAACGAATATTTCAAATTATTCATGTATTGACTAGTGGTGTTCCGATCAACTGAAATAATCGAAGATTGGTCGCAGAGACCAAATGCCCAAGCAATCGATCACATTTACTCATAATCGAACACAAACGATTTTGGAACTACTGTTTTTGTCTTTGAAACACTTGACGATGGAACATATCTTCGATGTTGTCAGGGCCTGCAAACTTGTTTAATTCTTAGAAAACTCACTTCACTAACTGAAAAGTCATGACTGAATATTTCTTGACTCCAGGAAATTTATGGTTATGAAATATTAGTCATCACTTTAAAGTAGCAAGTTGCATCATCTTATACATATATGCAATAACAACCTGGATAGGAAAATTTGAAAAATGACGCTAACCAATTTTTTTTCGATGATTGTTCGTTGGTAATGAAGCAATCATCAAATGTGAGATTTCAACCAATTCACAACACTAGTATTGACTGATACAATTTGGGAGAAAGCAAGGGTTGGAGATTATGTCGTATCAGTAGTGAACAGTTTTAAGAGATGTCAATTTGATAAATTGTTTCAAACAGGAACATAGTTTCCACCTATGAAAGGTTTACCTCATTTCAATGCATGTCATTCGAATGTGTTCCCCAGGAATTAGCAGTAAATTTGTTTCATTTTGTAAATGACAGCATGCCTGAATTACAGGGAAATTTCCAGTGTTGTGAAGAGCTATTTAATAAAGAGGTGCAATGTTGCCTTTCAAAAACTCGAAATGTTAACAGGTCCAGACAGGTCTGACAGCTGCTGTCTTTTGATTGTATTGCATGATATGACAAGAGTGTTTGGCTGACTTCACCATTGTGACTAGACAGCACACATACACGCACACGCACACATACACGCACACGCAACACGCATGTACGCTGCGCGCATGTACGCTTTAATGCATTACGCACACGCGACACACACACGCGCAACGCATGTACGCAGACAGACAGACCAGGTCACAGGATATGATGTACTTGAGCTTGGTTTTGATTTTAACTAAATGGAACTGAATACGGAACTTCTCCCAGCTTGATAAGTGACATTCAATAAAAAGACCCTCAAATGTTATAGGTTCTGCAAGTATTGTCTGCAGATTGCTGTGAAGATTTTGTTAACTGGTATCCTTTGCCCTTAAACATGTTTTCACTCGGCTCGACAGCCAGGTTTACGGGATGGACTACACACAAAGACTGATTGGTTCTGCAGGCCTGTTGCAGTGAACAAGCAGATAAGATGCCAGGCGGGAAACAATATTTGGTATAAGTTGGTTATTCTAAATGTTGATCCATTTCTGACATTGATTCCTAATTACATGGTCTGTGTGTCGTAGTGATGTCAGGCAGTGTACAGAATGGCATCCTCAAGGTGTGCCTGGATCTTCTGGTAGTGGAATAATTACATGGTCTGTGTGTCTTAGTGATGTCAGGCAGTGTACACAATGGCATCCCCGAGGTGTGCCTGGATCTTCTGGTTGTGGAATAATTACATGGTCTGTGTGTCGTAGTGATGTCAGGCAGTGTACAGAATGGCATCCCCGAGGTGTGCCTGGATCTTCTGGTAGTGGAATAATTACATGGTCTGTGTGTCTTAGTGATGTCAGGCAGTGTACAGAATGGCATCCCCGAGGTGTGCCTGGATCTTCTGGTAGTGGAATAATTACATGGTCTGTGTGTCTTAGTGATGTCAGGCAGTGTACAGAATGGCATCCCCGAGATGTGCTTGGATCTTCTGGTAGTGGAATAATTACATGGTCTGTGTGTCTTAGTGATGTCAGGCAGTGTACAGAATGGCATCCCCGAGGTGTGCCTGGATCTTCTGGTAGTGGAATAATTACATGGTCTGTGTGTCGTAGTGATGTCAGGCAGTGTACACAATGGCATCCTCGAGGTGTGCCTGGATCTTCTGGTGGTGGAATAATTACATGGTCTGTGTGTCTTAGTGATGTCAGGCAGTGTACAGAATGGCATCCCCGAGGTGTGCCTGGATCTTCTGGTAGTGGAATAATTACATGGTCTGTGTGTCTTAGTGATGTCAGGCAGTGTACAGAATGGCATCCTCGAGGTGTGCCTGGATCTTCTGGTTGTGGAATAATTACATGGTCTGTGTGTCTTAGTGATGTCAGGCAGTGTACAGAATGGCATCCCCGAGGTGTGCCTGGATGTTCTGGTTGTGGAATAATTACATG